CAACCAACCAACCACATCAACCAACCAACCAACCAACCAACCAGCCAACCCCCCTATGTAGATCTGATTACGCTCCATCCAGCTTAAGTAAAAAATCCTAGAAATCCAAACAAATCCAAATAGAAAATAAGGGATAATCTAGATGGCATAAGGGGTAATCAAGAGGGTCTGTATACGAGAGAATAAAAGTCAAGAGTCAGCATAAGGACTTTTGGGCAACGCAAACGTGAACATCCTCTCTTTCGACTGGTCCCTGTGGCAGCGGGACAGCTACTGAGGAGTTGCTGAGTCGGCTAAGGGGCAGACACCTCAGCATTGCATGTGGCCCCCTCTCTCTCCTGGGGTGCGGTACTACGATGCCGCTGGGGTCACTCAAACCCCCAGAACTGAGCCTCCTCTTTGATAGAGACGGCGTGTTTTTTCTTATTCACAGGATTAGTTCACGTGCTACCGCAATAAAAGTTTCTCGTGGAAGACTTACCAGAGAAACCCTAGCAATCCCTCATAACCTCTGATAAAAGCGGAGATGTTAAAAAATGTGCGGAGTGCGTACATAAACCGGCACCAACGGAACGAACGTTCAATTTTCGTGATAAAATGTCTAAAACGGAAATTGAATCAGTGAAAATTCTTAGAAAGTGATTTGTGCGATGATGCTGCGCTTGAAGAAGTCATTTCCTGGTGCAGTCGGCGTGACAACCTATCGATCACTAGAATATTTACTAATTCCGATGCGATGGAGGTTATGGAGATGGAAAAATATTCACTCGAAAGCAACTGCAGCTCTGGAAGTCGATTCCACAGGGCAAGTTAAACTCAAACTCGATCCGAGGGTTGAAGCTATGAAAGATAGATTAATTTACTCAGACTATATTGAGAGGAAGCGATTAAAATTTGGATATATGAAAAATAAAGCTATAATGGGCGAATTGGTAAAGAAGGAGCACGGCAGATTGTTGTACAAAAAGCTTAACGATCCAAATTACAGTATTGCGTTGAAATATTTAAAGAGTGACGAGGAGAATCTGGAAGAAATAGAGAATTCAGCTGTAGAGTCTGAGGAGATGGTGGACGAAGTAAAAGGTCCGAAAGCCATTCATATGCCTTATGCATCGACAGATCAGTATGAGTTCAAGGAGACTGAGGCACCTGTTGACCAGGATCCTGAGCCGATCCTGAATACTCGGTATCAGAAGCTCTATGAAAAATATCTGGAGGCCAAAGAGACCAAAGACTTGGCCCCCAGATTCAAGAGACGAATGGACAATTTGCAGAAATTAGTGGAAGGGATGGAGGCGAAGGAATCTTCAAATAACCCTAGTGGATCGGAGATGAAAAGACCAGCAGATACTCTTCACCATGTTCCACCAAACTGGATGACAGATTATGAGCAATATGATGATTACGAGAATCCTGATTCCTGGGAATCAAATTATGGAACTCCAGACAGAAATATTGCAATCAGTAATGTACCATGTGGAGGCTGTGGAGCATTGCTGCATTGTCAGGACTCTGCAATTCCAGGGTACTTACCCTCGGAATTGTTTAAAAATCTGAAAAACGATGATGACTTGAAGAATACGATCTGCCAGAGGTGCCACTTCATGAAGAATTATAATGTCACGTTGGAAGTTAAAGTGCCACCTGAAGTTTATCCTGAGATTCTCAGTCAGATTCAGCTGAAGAAGAGAAAAGCCGCTGTGATATTGATGATCGATCTGACAGACTTTCCATGCAGTATCTGGCCAGATTTACCTTCAATCATTGGAAAGTATACTCCCATATTCGTAGTCGGGAACAAAGTGGATCTATTACCAAAGGATTGTCCTCGATTTATTGAAAATGTTAAGACGTCGTTGATACACGCCCTCAGTCAGTCTGGCATTCGAGAATTCAATGTTAAACATGTCGAGTTGATCTCTGCACAGACTGGTTATGGGGTAGAGAGGCTGATTAATAAATTGCACAGAATTTGGCAGTACAAGGGAGATGTCTACATGATTGGATGTACAAATGTTGGTAAATCTACGCTGTTCAATGCTCTCCTTCAGTCTGATTACTGCAAAGTACAGGCTGTGGATTTAATTCAGAGAGCCACAACGTCACCATGGCCCGGGACAACTCTCAATCTCCTGAAATTTCCTATTTTGAATCCGGTCCGCTGGCGATTGGCTATGAGAGCCCAACGCCGAGCCAATACGATGTCGGAGGAACATGCCCAACTTCAATTTCGTAAACGTCAGCTAACAGCTGAACGCAATATTGCGTTTGCAACGTTGCAAGAAAGAATCGGTATAACATTCCCATTAAAGTCGACATTAACAGGAGCTGCTTTAACAAAATACGAGAGAAGATTAGAAACTGGACGTAAATTTGGTATTGATGAGAACGACGAGGACTTCAGGTACGGTAAATGGTGTTACGATACTCCTGGTGTCATTAATCCAGCGCAAATTCTTCATCTACTCACCACAGAAGAGCTGCTGCTGACGTTATCCACGAAAATAATATCACCTAGAAGCTTCATCTTTAAACCAGGTCAAACTCTGTTCTTGGCTGGACTCGGACAACTCGATCTATTGACTGGTCCTGAGTACATTAGAATTACCGTTTTTGCTAGTGCATCTCTTCCCATTACGATCTGTCAGACCAAAGATGCTGATTATATTTACAATGAATTACTCCAGACAGATGCGCTAGCTGTACCTATCAATGATCCCGAAAGGCTAAAAATCTGGCCACGTTTTGAATATGAAGAGTTCAGTGTCCAAGGGATCAGTAAAGATGAATCGACTTGCGATATTCTTTTATCGAATGCAGGCTGGATTTCAATTACACCAGATGAAAATGAAAACGTAACAATTCGAGCTGGAACACCGCAGGGTCGAGGGATTTATCAACGAATACCTGCATTACTCAGTAAATCCATATCGCACCGAGGGGCGCGGATAAAATCCAGCGCTGCATACAGAGTTGGACGACAAGTATACACGAAAGGATAAATCCACATTAACCATTTTATTATAGTCTATAAATATAAATATTTCATCGGTTTTATACTGTTGAGTCATGGATGGAGTTGTATAATAAATTGTATAAATTAGAAAACGATTTGTACTGAAGATGTCATCCTTTTCGTTTATAAATACTCTTATAAATACTGAAAAAAGTTCTTCAGTTGAGCCTGTTCAAGGCTCACAGCCATCAATTTTTCCTGGACGGATTTATCATTAACTAGAGGACTGACTGTTGCTTCTAGACAATTGCTTATGTATGCGCCTCCACGATCTTCGAGATTCTTGTTGACAGCTGCGTAGACAATTGATGTGGCACCCTGCTGAGGAGTCTGGAAAAAAATTATTTTTGTTCAATTTATTTAGTAAAGAATAGTGAGTAAATATTGTTACCTTGAAGAACGCAGCTCTGAGCCACCTAGCGCTGTTAAGATAGCTGTTGTCAAACAGGTCTGTATTCACGATCCCTGGGTGAACTGCAAAGGCGCGAATCGGGAGGTTTTTTTCTTTTAACAGTTGATCTAAAGATTTGGTGAATACAACTTGAGCTAATTTGCTCTGAGCATAGGCCGCTGTAGATATGAATTGAGCTCTGCAAAGTGAAATTTTATATGAATATTCATTATATATCAATGGAAACAATTCGTTGACGAAAGAAAACTGTATGAATTGTAATGAGCCAATGAATATATGAGTTCGAATCCAAAATGTCAATGTCTTTACACGTACTTGTTATTAATATCGCTGAAAGGAAGTTGTCCAAGCAGGTGCGCGCAGGAAGAAACACTAATAATTCTTGCTGAATTTTCTGATGATCCAGCATTTCGAAGTAACGGCATTAGCAACGCAGTCAGCAAAAAGTGTGACAAATAATTCACAGCCCATTGATGTTCAAATCCATCTACTGTTTCTTCGTAAGGTGTGAACATTATTCCCGCTGAGAAACATAATTAAATCCGTTTTTTTTCATTAGCATTCAATCGTCCAGTTCAATAGTGAAGAGGTAAAGAAAAAATCCGAACAAAAATCTAGCTGTCTATTTTAGGTTCAAAGATATTCCCCGAGAACTGGACTTGAGAATCAATCAACATGTTACATTTTACATTTCCATTTTTAAATTCGTTGCAGTGATAATTGAGATAATATGAAGTGCTAATAGAAAGTTTCTCTGGATTTCTCACCATTATTGACGAGAATATTGACTTTAGTGTAGCCTTTCTTAATTTCTTCAGCAAATTTTCTTACAGAGTCTAAACTCATGTTATCGAGGTGATAGACGGCAGCTTTCCCTGTCGTTGTGCCTGATTTCCGAATATGCTCGATTACTTTCTCTCCCGCCTCAATTCTTCGACAAGCTGCAGCGCAAAATGCAATTAATAAGACATGAAATCGAGAAACATTGTAAATTGATAGAAATAGACGGTGTACCTATAATAACGTCCATATCAGACTGTAGGAACATTTTTACAACTGATGCACCGATACCTCGTGTACCACCAGTTACAATTGCCACACATCCGGTTTTTTTTGGTAAATCTGGAATGAGTAGAAGTTATTCGCATAAAGAGTCATTCGTTGCTTCTTATAGCACATTTCCGATGAGCGCATCCATATTCATACGTATTAATCGATTGCGATGCTAATTTGCAATCGGAATCACTGAATTGATCAGTTAATTTTTACGAGTGATTGAATTCCACTCATCTCTAGATTTTCGCTTGAATCAAACTATTAAAAATGATTACACGTGTTCTCTGTATTCTGAGATGTATTAAAAAATTACGACGATCGATAATTATTTCATTGTGAAAATATATCGCAATTACAAAAAAGAAATTACAGATTACCGAATCCAGTGGTGGAAAAATTAAATGTAAACAGTCATCAGCGAAAGATTAAACAGTGATCGTTTCCGATATAATTATGGACTATCGCGGTTATTAAAAATTCCAAGGCAAACGGGAATAAACTTGCTCATGATTGTCACGCGAAGGAGTGAGATATATTGTGGATTAGAGCGAGATAGATAAGGATTCCCTAACAAAAATAATATTTCATGAATAATTCATTTAGTTAATTAGATGGCATCCATCAGGTAATAGTCCAAATGATCGCATCCGTATTTTTTCTTCAGCCTGTGGTGTTTTTTGATCGGAATAATATGACTGGTGAGTTTTCTTAATTTATATGTCCATTTATGATCAGGTATACTTCGTCCTTCGATCATAATAACATTTAAAAGATTTATGGAATAACATTTGACTCGATGAATGTGAAAACAAACGATTTGCCGTTGAACTTAGATTATAGAATATCTTACAGAACACTTGATATAAAATTACTTCTCATGGTGATTTTCAAGAAAACCCACATTTTTATGATTCATCACAAATTGTAATGGCAATAAATTTTTTTTTGTTGCGTTCAAGGATTGTGACGGCATCAGTATTTGCTAACAATAAATTTGAAATGTCATTGCCTGGGATAATCATCTCTAAATTGAAAAAATTGTCACAACAGAATAACATTATGACCAAATATTACAACGACTCTTTAATCTTTCCCTCTCAATTGAAATTTACTCATCTTGTTGCATCACTCCAAAATAAAATTGTAAAATTGTTCAATAGAAATAAAAACGCAGCTAATATATCAATAACTGAATAACAAACCACAAAAAAATTAAAAACACATTCTGAAATAAAAGAAAATGAGGATTTACAGGATATGTAAAACCAAGCATCGAAACTTCATTCTTCATTCCATAAAATTATTCAAATAATTGTCAAGACAAGTCCGTCCAAAATCGAATCGAATATTTTTTTTTCCACCAAATCGTCCATCTTTCAAAATTTTCCCAAATTTCCACGAGTCATTCATTGGTTCCCCTAACACATATCAGCACTCACCTGTTTTGTTGTACCTCGATTGCACAAAATCGAAAAAGATCTCCCTGGTCCCCAACAGCTGATACTTCAGCTCGAGTACAATTTTCCTCGCCATGATCAACCAGAAGCTCCTGGATTTATTAAACGCAAGAAAACTACCGAGAAGAGTCAGAGTGCATCCAACCAAGACGAACATCCTGCGTTTATCAATCCCCGGCAGCTTGCAATCACATTAAATACTGCTGTCCATAAATCCCGCGTTTTTTCTTTTATTAACACTGCAAAAGTGCAGAATAAGCCGGAGTGAGGCAATCACAGCCCGTAATTAACTTATGAACAAGAATGATTGGGCGATGATACTGTCAGGTGTATTGAAGAATACTCCTACCACATGTTCTCGGTGTGTCAGCCTTCTCAGGTTCATTCTTCAGGACAACAGATAATGTAGGCCACGTGAAAAAGGAAAGTAGTACAGATGACAGATACAACCCAACCTGTCAAGTATTTTCTATCGCCTGTACGTGGCGCTCTTCGAGATCCCCTGAAGTTCATCGAATAACAGAGTTTTACACCTGAACAACTTCAAGCTACTCACCACTTTCAATAACCAAAAGTGGAGGATCCCAGTTAGTAAATGAATAGTGTTTCCTCACTCACCTAGAGTAACATTTTTCATCCAATAGAATCGTCATCATTGCTGCTCTATTCCAGAGAAACACTGGAATAATTAGTGGGTAACAATCAGAGTTGTAGGATTGAGTGAGTATATTGGTCAGCGAGTAATCAGTAAATACCTTGAAAGTTACACGTAGGCATTTTTTGATATTAAATGTGAATTAAAATGAGTGTCTAGGTTGATGGCATTCACAAGTATTTTCGTGATAAGTCACTGGGAATAGATGAGAGAGCATGATCACTCGAGAAATCGTGGAATTTGATCTCTCGAAGATTCCCTTTAAAAGTTGGCATTAACATCATCTTTAATCGATTATGCTAATAATGTTTGTCGGGATTCTCGATTATGCATATTTAAAAAAATATCAGTATTTCGATTAATTTTTATATATTATATTTTGTGTTTAATACTAGAAATATTTCCACGCGCTTTAAATATTTGTGAATATATTATAGATTTCATGGTATATTATATAATTATATATACGGCGGAAAGTTATTGAAAAGCTATTCGAAATTAGGAAATTAAGGCAGATCTATTTCTGAGTAAATTTAAGCTGCCATTGAAATATGCATAATCGCTCCGTTTCGGAATTTTCAAGATAATGAGAGAATTTCATGAATGACTTAATCCTGAATTTAATGCGGAAATCCATAATGAGCTTTGAGGTAAATGTCGCCGAGATAACCAAGCGTTAAAATACTCCAGCTATATTTTTCAAATCTGAAAAGCCATTAAAAACGCGCAATGAATGACAAGAATATAATAAACCACTGAATTAAAACATTGTACGAACCGCCGGCTCTTTTTCTAGTTATGTAAAATCATGAATTGGAGTATTAATAATTCCAGGTTTTTTTCTCAGGATGGCTGATAGTCCGAGTGCACCTACAGAGGAGAGCAATGGAAGTCCCCGGGTAGAAAAGGGCTGGGGTGCTCTAAAAAAACATGCTATCGAGAATAAAGTTAATATGGCCCTGTGGGCTACAAGAATTTCCACTGTTCTCTTTACTATAGGATATCTAATTCCAGTATTTGGGTAAGTGAATGTAATTCAATTTAAATTTCGGAGATTTTGATTTTCTATCATCCAGTGTTTTTAGCCTTTCGGGATTTTCTTCAAATTTTGGAATCATTTGAACTATTGTATTCGATCAGGAGCATTACTCTAGATTTATTATTACAGCAATCCATACAATGCTTATTACAAGGCATTGATGAGCAGTGCTGCAACGAGTGCACTGCGTCTTCATCAGAGGGTACCAGGAGTACAGCTGAATACTCGATTCCTCGAGCTTCTTCTTGTGGAGGATTCGTGCCACTATTTACTCTACTCGTCGATATTCCTCTACGTAGCACCTGTGACTTGTATCCTTTTTTAATTCCGATGGAGAACAGAACGAGGAGGAGTTTCGAAATATATCCAATGGTTTTTGCGCATTTGAAAATGAGACCAAGCAAGTGATAACGATTTTATTGTCGTTATCTCTGTAAAATGATTGTTTGATCTGAAATCACTCGAGTTTAATTTTTTCTAGAGTTAAAAAAAATAATAATTTTAATTGGGGCGATGTTAAGTCTCATCATCTTAGAAATCTATGAACTTCCTTAATGCTAGTTACAGTGGTGTTGGTACCAGTATTTCTCTTCGCTGTCATGCATTCCGCGAGTTATTCTCTAACATTGCTCGACGTGAGTTTAATTGACGCTATTCGATCTTTAATCATCACTCGCAGATCCGGAATTAATGACTTGCAATAATTGTGGTTTTTTATTTCAGATTCTGGGTCAGAATAGCGTTTGGCAAGCTAGACTCCTTATATCTATCGTTGAATTCCAGTCACGCACTATTTTACGTCTCTGTGCATTTTGTGAAATTATTATTTTGCCACTCACTATCATCCTCGTTTTCACGTAAGTTTTCTGGTTAATTGCATGGCTATTTCCCTCTTTCATTAATTGATCATTTAATCATTTGAAATATTGCTAATTATCGATTGATCGAAGAACAATTGATTTTACAAGAAAGTATTAAGAGACTTTTGATTTCTTCTGTCCCCAGTGGTCGTGCAGGATTGTTAACACCATTCATCTACTACCAATTCTTGTGGATGCGTCTTTCATCGATGAGGAATCCAAACACTCGCAATATATTCCGAGAGATAAGAAATGCCTTGTCTTCTGCAGCTGTATCTCCATCGATGCCACGAATTTTGAAATCATTGATCAATGCACTCCTTCGTGTCACCCAGCACATGGTGCCAGTGCAAGCTCCTCAACAGTAATTGTCCTGGGGGAATGCAATGAACGAATTTATGATTGAAAACAAAAAATAAAATGCATAAAAATCGTTGTTCTCAGTTTGAGAATGATTGCGAATTTTCAGACTCATCTGTGGAACTTCTAACGAACAAGTGATTATGTCACAACTTTTTTATAACTCTCGGGTTTTGAATGGATATTAAGATGTCGTAAAAAAACACTACCGCATTGAAGCTGCGACTCATTGATAAGTCAGTGCACTGGAGTGGATTTTATCGTCGAATTTGATAACATGAGAAAGGAAGACAATTTTGTATCAACTGAAAAGTCTATCCCATTAAATCATAATCTCCAACTGCCACGAGACTACGAAATAACGAAATAGTACTTGTGACACTTTATCGATGCCTTTTGATTTCTCACAATATTAACTGTCATATCAATCTTCACTCGTGACACTCAATTACATGTTTATCGTTTGCGTGATGATGTACATACTGGAAGTACAAAGTTCTTTGGAATAAGGTTCTTCGGTCCCGTTCATTTTATGATATCTCATTTTAATAGTCCAATGATTTACTTCTTTCAGTAGTGACCCTTTACATTCATTTATCTGGAGGATCAGTTCTAGGTGCCTAAAGTACATGAGCACTATCACGTACTCGTTTCGTACAATTTGTTTAATTATTTGTGGGTAATGTAAAATCTATTGTAAGAACACTGAATACTTTATGTTATGGTCTGTGGATGTTTCAATAATAAAATATGGAAATTGTTTATTACACATGATTATGCAGTCATGTTTCTAATCTCACCGCCTTCTGAAATCAATTTTTTCAATCAATTGATAGAAAAATAATCCGCAATAACTGAACGTAACAGATTTTTTTGGAAATGAGATTGGCAAAGAACGAATAGTCAGTGGATGCAGAGAAGAAGGGAAACTCCAAATAATTTCCACCCTTTCTCCTTTCAATTTGAAAACAACCGCCGAACCAATACTCGAATGATTAATCCGCTGGAATTATCTCCTCAACACACGCGAATTCTCCGGCATGAGTGTGTGATTCAGAAAAACGGCATTATATTGTCTGTAAGTTGATCCGAAGTGCTTCAAGCCTCAGGGGCGGCCAATCTCCGTCTGCGTGAAGCCGTATTCTTTCCCCTTGTCTCTCCAACTATAATGCCATACACTCTGTTATGGAGTGGAAGACAGTTGCACTGGCACTCTTAGTGATAAGCCTTGGATTTTTGGCTATTCCGATAAGAGTACCGCCAGATACAAGTACCGAGGATGTTAACTTATTCAAAACTTACGTTTCCTATTATAACAAATCCTATCGGCATAATCCGGACGAGTACGAAAGGAAATTCAAAGGTTTTCAGGTGAGTAATGAATAAATTAATGAATAGTTGTAGCTTGAAAAAAATCGGGAGACATATTTTTAGAACATATAAATAGAAATACTCCCGTCAATTGCAGAAAAGCGTCACTGTACCGACACAATGGGTCGTGAACTTAGACAATGCGTTTCGTATCAATTATTCTTGACGACAGGGTACGGATTAAAATACTCCGGTCTATTTGTATTTTTTACAACGAAGAGATGCCCCGTACACCTCAATTATCAATTTTCTATCACCCGACCCCAATAATACAAAATATGACGATTTTAGCGATCGCTCCGTCAAATCGAACGCATGAATCGGTTGCGATCGACTCAGCAAAGCGCTTACTACGGATTGACGGAATTTTCCGATCTTTCGGAGGAGGAATTTCTGCGTCTAACATTGCGCCCGGATTTATCGAGCCGGGGAGAACGCCACAAAAATGATCGTCATCACCATCGTCAGCATCGTACACCTGGAGAACACCTGAATCGTATCAAGAGACTGATTAAGATACCGACGAAAAACGATTGGAGGACAAAACACGTAGTTACTCCAGTCAGGGCCCAAGGATCGTGCGGGGCCTGTTGGGCATACACTGCAGTAGAATGCATTGAATCCATGGTTGCTATAAAAAATGGGACATTGCGCTCTTTCAGCGTGCAAGAGGTGAAGTTATCTTTATAGTCGATTATGCAACCGATTGGCCACCGTATCAGTGAATTCCGATGATCGATATTCTTACGTATCACTCGTATGAGGAATTTTTTACAAAAAAGAATAATAAATAATAAATAATAAATCTATAAAAAAACAAAAACCATTTTTTTGTCGTTTTTTTCTTCAGATGATAGACTGCGCGAGGAATGGCAATTTGGGATGCAATGGAGGTGATATTTGCAGTCTTCTCTCCTGGCTCGACGATTATGGAGTTCCTATTTTGGCAGAAAGCGCTTATCCCGTGACAGGAACATCCGGTACTTGCTTGTTAGATAGGTAAAAGATAAATAATTGAGTGATGTGGAGTGATGTGATGGTTTTCGATAAATGTCTCGGGGTTTAATCACCCGCAGGAAAATATCGCCTGAAATTACAATTGTGCACATTGTCGATTTATATTCGCAATTGCTTGTGGTTTTCTTCAATTATCTCTTTTATTTATAGATCAAAAACGTCAACGGTTCGAGTTGCGGGTTTCACGTGTGACAGGTAATCTTATATTAATCTGCCATCAAGCTAGATTATTTATGACCCAACGCCGCATGTTATGTAAACGTTTGCAATCAAGTATTTCATATAGGATGCCTAGCAATGAGCATAAGTCACGTTGCATTCAATTTCAATTACAAAATTGACAAATTGCGTTAAAATCTCCTCTCCAATTAAAAATTTCCTCAAAAATCCGAAAAATCAATTAATTTAAAAAGTTCATCACTTGCTTTCTGAACTATAGAATATTTTTTCGCAGACACAAAGAGCAGAAAGTGTCAGCGAAATTTTTCGGAGAACTTCTTTTTATTATTATATGTCTTCTTTTGTGGCGTCATTGGAAAAAATTTAGACTTAATCAATTTTTTATGTGTGAAGTTTAATTTCCGTCAATTGGTATTCACTTTTAGTTACGTTGGATCGGAGGAGGAACTCATAGCAACACTTGTCAATCATGGACCAGTAGCAGCAGCGGTCAATGCTCTCACGTGGCAGAACTACTTAGGCGGTATTATACAATTCCATTGTGACGGTGCATTTTCGATGTTGAATCATGCAGTTCAGATAGTGGGATACGATAACAGCGGGCCAATACCTTTTTACATAGTCAGGAACTCCTGGGGACCACTATTCGGCGACAAAGGTTATTTGTACATCGCAATTGGAAGTAACATATGCGGTCGGTCATTTTATTTTCTTCCACATCAGATTTCTTCACAAAGATAACGTGGCTAATGATAGGATGCGATATGTTTCTTACAGGTATTGCAAATCAAGTCGCTGCGGTGGATGTCATTTTTTAAATTTTGTATATTACAAAGAGTGAACCAACAGTGTATTCTATTCTTATGTGTACGACTGGATGAACAATAATTATAATATTTTTATTCAGCGTCGAAATGGCAAGCTGTTATAAATGGAGTTTTACGGTTTTTATAAAAATCAACTTGTGATTGTTTGCCATAATTTTCCATTTAGTTATTGGATTGCATCAATAAATTGAGAATTCGAGGATTATGCATTTGCGTTATTAGTCTCACAAGGAACCCTCCACTGAGCTCTCGGAGGCGGTTTGATCCGATGTGTCATCCTCGGTATTGAAACAACCCCACGCTATCGAGAGCTTCGATTTCATTTCCTTCGTCAGTGGTGGAATCGAATTTCTTGGGATGAGGAATGTGGAGAGATTGAACAGATCCAAGAAGACTTTGTATCGATCACTGTAAGAACAAATTAATGATTTATTGAATCTTGTAATTGGTTTCTTGAGGTGGAATACTGGGGTGGGGATTACCTGAGGGTCGATTTCAAGTAGTGATACCCTGAGGAACCACCTGTACCGAATTGTTGGGAACCGATCATCCGCTGCACCATGATCACGTGATTGTCTGTGCAAAAGATACAAATGGAGAAAGACAATTTTTAATGTGAACGAGTTCAGAATAAAAGGTCAAGGGAAATCGATAGATGTATTATTAAATTCATAAAGTATTGAATTTTCTTTGTGGTAGCTTGCGCTGAATTTGTTCTGGGTAAAATTGTGACGCACCGGTACTGTAAATTCGGAAATGGTCAATATTTGGAATATCCGATTAATTTGTGTAGGACCAAGTGATGTGAATTCGCGCGGAACTATCATCTATATTATATCACATTCTGCAATGTATGTGTTCCTCTTTTGAACCGTAAAAAAGAAGATTTTAAGCGACTTGAAGAATTTATAGCAATTACTATAAATCACTCATTGATCACTCATTCATTTTTTCTAAATCATCTGTAGACGATTGTAATTCGATTGACCCTGATAAGGTATTCTTTTTTATAATATATTCAGGTGAATTCATTGAGTGTAGGCAACATTATTTGAAATCAAATTATATTGATATTCTCTAGTTCTTTCGTAATAAATGCACCCGAAGAGGAATTCTTTGAGCATTCGAAAAGTTGTGCAGTTAAAATAATTATTGTAATCTTCGTTAAACCTTTATGATCAACTTCAATGAAGAATTTGATCGAATTGAATGGCTGAAGACTCGATTTAACTAAAATAATATAAATATTAAAAAATCTCACATCTCCATTTGGTGATAAGCGAATCGATATCCATCAAAGCGGTGAGTATTTGATGGGGTTGACTAAATCTCGGTTCATCACGGTAAAGTGTAATCATGATAGCGCCCTTGAGTGCAGCATGACAAAATCGCCTCTCCCCCCTGGCCACAAGAGCATTGTGAAGAGATTCATTGAAAACCGTTTCAAAAATCCCTCTCTTCCCAGCAACACTCGCCGACATGTACTTGCGCACCGGTTCTTTCAGTTGTCCCTGTGAAAAAAAAAATCCATTGACGACTGATGGTGACAGATGATTGAAATGATCGACAAGATATTCACTTGAGCAATTTGTTCCTGATCACTCAGCATCGTTGCCACCGCAGTTTTGTACTTTCCCCAGAAATTGAAGTCACAGGTGTCTTCGAGACCTGGTGTCCTTCCCAACCACTCCTGCACCAGTGCACTCAAGCTCCGCTCGGTTTCCGATTTCCTAATGGCATCAACCGCCTCAGGATCCTTACCGAAAACTTTAGTGTAACACTGATTATATCGTACACGATGCTCTCCCTTCACCCCAAGTTTATTCTCCAATAATCGAAATTGAAGCGACTGGAATCCAGACGCCGGGCATAGATAATCACGGAAAGCCATGAAATCAAGAGGTGTCATTGTTTCCAATATAGTCACTTGGTCAACAAGAAGCTGTAAAATATTCAAGAGAACATCCTGAATCATGAATTATGCGCAACAATAAATGTTAAGCACGAAGTGACAATACAATTTTAATGAAAAAGAGGTCAACAGCGTATCCATATGAATGATCTCCTGGAATTCCCACGTTATCCATGTTGAAATAACTCCCATGGAAAATTAAACCAACGAGAGAAGTGCAACCTAGTACGCCTCATTTTTGTGGTAAAACGTATATCATGAGCCGAACGAGATCAGAAATTGCCTAACTGTGGTTGGCGTAAGTGTCACTTATTTCCATCCTCCTTTATTCATTGTATCGCGTTACAACCGGTTTGTATTAACTTACACAGTGTCTAGTTATCTTCCCACAAATCCCTCATTGCTCGCTCAGGTGAGAAATATCAATGACTGGTGGTGAACAATGAGGGAAAAAAGAATTTTTCAATATCTAAACTTTAATCCATGACTTTAAGCTCTCTGCGACTATTTCTGAATGAAAGAGAAAATAGCGGGAAGGAGAATTCCACATGCACACCGAGGGTCATTATTCGATTAGAGCCCTTCTGGTAACAAAACACCTGTCTCAATCTCACACTCTTCACACTAATTGGCTTGTCGTCAGGGGTTCGTTCACCCTTCAAACAATCCGAGTTTATTGAATTCTGGAAATTCAACATTCATTGGAAAATGATTTCTTAATTGGAGGTTGCGAATTCTTATAATAGCGTTTAATTCCTCCACTTCGATCTCATCAGATTGTTCGAAGGGAGGTCTTCTTTAACGTAATTACTTTCAATATGAGGACTATGCGGTTCAGTCGCTTCAGGATCTCCAACGTTCTGGACTCGTCCAGTCTCTGGTAATTCGCTAATTCGGATATTCCATCTGGACCATTTGACGTGGGGTCTTTTTCTGTACTGAATAACCCTCTCACCGAGTCCAGTTCGTATATGATTTGTTTGAACCAGAGTTCATAAGCTAGAAATAATAAATAATATTGAAAAACACAGACAAAATGATTGAATTGTTTAATCATCTAGCGGTTGTTTCTCCAGGTGGATTGGCGGATTGGCTTTCATTAAATTGGATTGGCGTAATAATGGGAGGGTACCATTGGGATTTTCGGCTTACCTTGATGTGTGATGATGAAGAGATGCTCATCATGAACCTCTTTATCGTACACTGCACTGAGTAGTGTTTGTGCTGAGAGGATCTTGTCCAGGCGCAGGTATTCACCGTAGAGCAGACCTTTTCCAGGGCCATCAGTTAGATGATCACCATCTTGATTGCTGTCGTCATATCTACGCGGTATATGGATTTATGTATTATGAAATTGATAGGATATAACACGAACATTTCGGAAAGATTTATCGGGGATCACGACCTCTTGGCTCATGTGCAATATTCAAGGGCAGATAGTTGCATCTACTTCGGAAATATTCTGTGTCAACGGTTTATCAGCTTTCGTCATTTTTGCCCTCGTCGATCGACGACGATTTTCCGTATTTTGATGAAGTTTTTTTAATTTCCTGTTGAACATTGCGCAATTTCCCGTGAGGATTTTCTAATCTATGTGCAATTAAAAAAGCTGATAGGAGTTCTGCAAAATTTATACTCTCTTGTTTGTTTAAATTTCAATGGCGCAGTTGATTCTTGATATTATTTATTTTTTAAATAATCATTCTATTGAAAATCTAGAGAAAATAGTTGACACTAATTACTCGATTAATTAAAAAGGGTACATTCAATTTTTATTTGGATTTTCCACAGTCTGGATTTTTTTATATTTAATTCTTGAGAAACTTACAATTCATTTCCATTTGGACAGGCCATATTATATTTCGCTTGACAGTCCGATTCACCCTTTCATAAATCCGGAAATGTTTCAGGGGTAAATCGATTTTTCTGTTTTAATTCACACACATGAGCCACTTTAACCGATGGCAGTGATGTTAATATTCGTTCAATTACGCGGGGAACAAATGGATTTGTTTATGAATCGGAAATATAAACGTATTCAGTGAGACGGTTCAAACTCGACTAAGACCGAGAATCTTTGGCGCATGACCGGTTGGTGGGGTTTATTTCAAAAGAGAGACTATTATGTGGAGTGCAGACAGTGTGCATCCAGTTTTTCTGAATAATTTTTTAATTTTGTTTTTCAACACGTGTCACCTATCTAATCACGTTTTAATGGACCTGTTGTTCGCACTACCGTACATGAAGTGGATGATAACGTTGGCCTGACGGAATTTTTCTTATCTGGACCGTATTGTATTTTACTTAGATTTTGCAATTGAAAAACTTTAAAATTGTATAATCCCACCCTAATCACTCAAAAATCCTGTGCAATATTGAATATTGATGTTGTTGTTGAATATTGATGTTGTTGTTGAATATTGAAATTGGAATTCTCATCTTGTTGTTAATGAAGTGGAAATTATAGAATTACTTCCTCCAGGAAATTATAATAATAAAAGAACAACAAACAACTGCACATGAAATTTTATTTTTCTTTTAGTCGTGTATTTTGAAGACATTGTATTGAATAGAATAGATTTTTTAAATCTGTTTCAAATTGATCGTATCGCAGTATCCGACGAGTTTTCCTCAGGATGTTGCGTCAAAGTTGAACAGATGGCGGCATCATGATAGCTCGACAAAAATTGCCATCGCTCTTATCCCATACAAAAATTCAAACACTGCCTTCATTTAATAAACTTATTATATCATTCTCATTTTCTTCTGCACCTCAGAACACCTTTCACTCTTCAATAGTCAAGTTATCCGACAATTACGATTTAAATTCTAGTGAAATATAAAAAATGTGCCTTGCTGTTCACTAAAAAAATATTTCCGGTGTTAAGAGAAGAAGAAAACTATTCCCTCGATTCTAAAAAACTTGTTTCGCCACTTTAGAAAATTTATTCTCAATTCAAGAGAACTTCTTGTTGTCAGAAAATGTATTATTGAGTTGTTAAATAAGTGAATGAAAAATGTGATTGCATTGAACGCTCATTGTTCGAAGGCCAGACGAATCAGCCTTGTAGACGCGATGCATTTGCTTCCTATTTTATGTGATTAAAATAAAATTGTAACACTGGGTCTGCGTCTCAGGTGATCACCCCTGGATATTATAATAATTCCATCGCATCTTTCGTCAGTCTACCGCAAGTTTCGCCCTCCCAGTCGCAAATGCGACCTGCGGTGAATAATTCTCCTCCAACTTCTTGCATTTATTTACAATTATAATTCACTCCAACACCGGTGTTCAGCTTTTTTTACAGTTACCAATGACGAAGCTATTCATAATGTATCATTAACAATTGATGAACATTGACAATTGCATCCACTCGCAACACCAGCCTCTATCATATTTCCAATGATTATTACGGAACCTTCTGCAAACAGTAGAAAAAAAAATTAAAAATACTCAATAAAGTATCGAAAAATATCCGCAATTACCATCTAAATAATATTCATCATGAAATTGAATTGAATTCCTAATGAAGTCTGCAACTTCCAGGGAATTGCGTCTCGATATAGAGATTTATAACTTTTGGAAGTTATTTTTAATAACTATCAATGTGGAGAAGGCAATCAGGTATTTTAAAATCAAATGGAGATAGAAGTGATGTTCATCTTTGAGGCTTCGTGATTTGTCGGTGTGCGATTCCTCTAAAATTCAACGAAATGTGATATCAAAAGCAGACAAACCGGACGTACTGTTTCCCGGGATTTGAGATACGAAAATTATCATTCACTCCCAACAAAGTACAAACTGAGCGAATAAAAAAAAAGTAAAATAGGAGAGAGTTAATTTTCCATCGTCTAGTTGGCGAAACAATCCTCATAAATTCGTCGAGTTCGGTGCAGCAACTTTTGCGATAGCCCCGAGACTCGACATCCGGAGCACTCAGCTTCTACGTCACTTGAAATTGCCATTAATTATCCGGGGATAGTTCGTGGTTGTTTCCCTCGGTATGTGATTTCAATCGTGAACTGTTTATCGCAATATGTAACTCAACGACTAACCATCAGGGACAAGGTGATGGTTGAAGTATCGCAGACTCTTCGTTTTACGTATATTGTCTGAAAATTCATTCTTCTGTTCGCCTTCTTTGCCGGAAAAAGAAATTTAAAAAACATCTGTACAATTTGCGTGAATTACTGTTTCGTTAACTTCCGGGAACTGAACGAAAAAAAAAAAATTATAAAACTCAAAGCAAAAGTTTCATTAACCACGAGTCCAATTCATCTTGCGTTAAACTTTTAATGGGAGTTATTTTTTTTCCTTCTCTGTGAATCCGTCAGCCAGTTTAAATTTTTGCAAGGTGCACCTGATCTCTGCATGTTCGTTCTCTCGAGATAAAGTAATCTCGTCGTTTCCGTAATTTTACGCCCTCGGAGTACGGATACTTCTTTTGTGGGAATAACAATGTTGGTCATTTAACTATTTAACATTTTTAATTTCCAGATCATTAATATCTTACATGACGACGTTACTGGAGGAATCTAAGGAATTGATTACGATAAGATGTGTCTTCCTTTAAAAAAACGTTTAAACAAATTTAGTCATGTAAGTGATTGATTTATAATAAGAAAGAGTTAAATCACTAGTTGTAAAATCACTGGAAGAACTCTGATCACTTGCATGACGCACACCTCCCAGGTGTTCAATGAATTTCCACTTATCCATTATTTCCAAAATGTAAAACCGTCCAACTTTCCACGGAGACTCACACCTTAATGGTACTTTATGCCCCAAGGATGCCCAACGATACTTCAACCATTCCACCCGGTCTTCTGTGAAGTCAGAGGCAATACATAAAATACACGAGAGCGATTCGTTTAGCCTGCCAGACTGGTTTCTTACCTTTTGCTCCGTTTACTTCTTTTTTTACTTTCGCACAGCTACGGTATCCTGTACCTATTTTTAGATTCTACAAAGATTATACAAGTAAAAAATACCGTCTCCTGTTTCATTGTTTTCGCATCCTCTGAAGAACGAGTCAATCAGTTCTCATTCGGAACGAGCGCGAGTAGTTGATTATCTAATGAATCTCGCTGAATCCGTCGATTGATCGATGACCAGTGATGACCATTTTTTTTCTTTTCTTTTCTTCGTCCAGTGAAAAAGTCTTTTTTCTTCTTTGTACAATTGGAGAAAGGTTGGTGAGTGGGTCATGGATCTGAGGAATACAGTGGAAAAATTGTGGCAGAAAATAAAACTCGAGATTTAAATTGGAATTTTTCAGTTGAATTTTATTCAATTTTTAAATTAAATACAATTATATTCCTCGAGAAAGCCATCGTGTTAATTATGATGTTGAATGTACTCTTCCAACTAAATAGCCATTTGGAAGAAATAAATTAATGTTTCAGTGAAAATTTTCAATTGAACATGTAATTCCGTAGTGGAGTGGTAAAACGAGATAAATTAATTTACTTCGATCAATAATCTCATTCCGTATGTGAAATGGCATATGTGCAAAGTATATAACATATATTAGCGTAAAAGTGCAATATACCAGGTATGAATCTGTTAATAGATTATCTTCGGTGATACAGTGGTGATGATTATCTGCACATATTCTTTCCTCGAGGGACATCGTTTCAGCATTTCACAAAGTTTCAATTCATAGTTTCATTGAAAACTCAGATGACACCGTGACTGAAATTCGAAGAAATTTCTAGCAGTGTGTGTTGGGTGGGTTCTGGTAGTCCATGTGGTCCTTTGATACCGGACTGCTTGAGTTTTCTGATGTTTGCCTGCGGTCAGGGCACTCAACAGTCGTGCACCAACCGTCCAACCGGCTGCACCAATCCACGCACAAACAAAACGCAGAATATACAAAACCCTCGCTACTTTCAAAGGAACAACTGAGTGACAAAACATGTACATTGAATAGCCAGTGCAATTAATTTTGTGACAAAAAATGCGGGGAAAAACTGTAGTTACGTAAACGAATGGATTGAGTGGGACTCGAGGTGGAACAAGCAAGGAGCATTTATTAAAATTGTTTTCAATTAGTTTTTTTTTGTCTCTCCGCAATTATCACACTCGACACTGGCCTGGGATTCGACGAGAATGCTCCATTTGGTGGTGCATGAGCATTTTGGATAGGCCCTCAGGTGAGAGTCTGTTTAATTGCGATGGTAATGGATGGGTCATCGGGCATCGAAAACGCTTATTCTTTGAATTGTTCGTTGTTATGTAGATTTAAGCCCTTGGACTCTGAACTCCGATGAGTTCCTGGTCGGAAACATTTCAATACGATCAATCGTTGAGTTTTTCCTGGAATTATTTTATTTGAGACGCGATTCGAATGAATGGGCACACCATGTACTTTCGTAATTGTCGCTTCTATTAGTGTTAATTAAACAGGTAGAAAGTAAATGTGCGGCTGCTCCTCTTTATTCCCTTCATTCGAGAGGAGAGTTTCATTCAGAGTTTCAAGAAATCACTGGAGATTTTACTGGTGGGTCGGGCTGGATCCTCTATTTATTGAATGAAATTAACTAATTGGGTTTGGGTTTAAAAAAAGATTATTTTTATTTAATCATATAGTTTCATTGAAACGAACAGACTCGTTTCATTGAGATCATACCTTTAAAAATAAATCGATGTATTAATTTTTCATTGAAAATGTCAGATATAAAATGGAATTATCCAGAAATAAAATGTTATCCGCTGATCAGGAAAAAAGGGCGCAAACGGCCAGGGAAAAATTCACGTGCCAACCCTAGAAATTTGGGTGTGGGCAGATTTACCGAAATATATTTTACACACATAAAAGTTTATACTAAAATTTACCCTGACATTTATTTATCGTGCACCGGCTGTAAACGTATTTTTACCCTGACATTGCAGTAAAAGCCATAATGAGTAGTAAAAATTTCAATGTCAGGGTAAAAATTCCTCCGGAGTCATTTCACTACAAGATTACTGCCTCATATTATAAATTCCATTTTATTGTAATAAAACATTAAATTTTTCCCGGTCCATATGGTATTTTGGATAGAGCACATGCCCGTCACGTAATGTACGTTATATATAATTATCCGCGTATTCCATTCGTGCTGTGTAATTTGAATGTCCATCTCTGTACTCGTCATTGTAAATATCAATTGCGTGCGGAGTAAGAAGAATCAATCAAGTACCCCAAACACTGTTCCACGAATTTGTCCAATAAATAGCGCACGACAAATATAACAGGGGACTGATGATACAGTTCGATCATCGGATCAATTGAATTTGGAGTCACGCAATTTGTGGTATGTTGTGAACCGCTTACGAAAGTTGACACACTGTTGTCGAGTTGTTCGATTGTTGGGTTGTATTGTCGGGTGTCGAGAGTTAACCAGTAACATTACAGCAGTGAAAGTTTTACACTTCATGACATGTTAATAAATTGAGCGACGATGTGATGTCATTGAGCATTTCGTTACATTTCTCCAAATTGTCGTCCGAAGGAAAAGCTGAAAATGTTTCCGGCTGGATATTGATGGGATTCACCATCACCCGACACTTTTTTTTTTATTAATTGAAAAGCTTTTGAGCTGTAAAAACAAATCTCGTTCATTCGAAACATAACAGGGGCTTACGAGATTCAATGGGAGTTGTTGTGTTTGCAAATCGCTATCCCGCAGGAAATCACGGAGCTGTGAAATGAAGGTGAAATTTTCAAGTACCCGAGGTGTTATGAATACAGAAGTTTCGTGTAAAGTTGGGGTGAATGGACTGAAAGATTTCACGTGAACTTGCACAATGGCTTGTTTACCGGATTCTTTCGTGTTTTTACTGAGTGATAGAATTTCATATATTACGGGTACTAGGGATTTCCCTATCATTTGTCAAAGGAAAAGTCAAAAAAAAATACTCAACATAATTGTCCTCCCAGCGATGTACGAGTGAACGCTGAAAAATTCAGCAAAATTCCGTTAAAAAAATCGAAATAATGCACGGTGCGGTATTAACGCATAATAAACACCGCGTCAATTCAGTACTAATGAAATTTTTAATTCCCAGGGGTTGATGTTTGAGAAATGGGGGTCGATCAGCTCGGCCTCCTCCTCTGGAAGAATTATGTAGTCCGGAAGCGACGACCGGTGAGTTTTCTTTAATTTTTTTTAATCGAAAGTCACCGGTTTTCCGACTGATCGACTGCAATTGCCTCATACCTTACGTATGTGGGATTAAAGTGAGCAACGAGAGGAGATAAAATTACTCAGACCTTGAAAGCGAGAGATAATCCTAACAATAATCAAAGAGCGCTAATCACTCCGATGATTCCCACTAGCAACGGGCAATTTGATGATGCCATTAAATATTTCCAATGTTTCACAGGCAATCCTTGGTCTCGTCTTCATCTGGCCCATCGTCATATTTATGTTGTTGTATATTGTTCGCGACAATGTACAGCCAGAGTACAATCCCACCTGCCAATTTCCAGCTAGGCTTATGCCACGTGATGGTCTTCTACCTTTCGTGCAGAGTTATATCTGCAGCGTTGGAAATCCTTGTGATCCCCTCGATAATTACGAGGAGGTGCCTTCATATCGAAATGCCAGGTTTGTCGTTCATCCCTCATCATTTACACTTGGCAAACGTTATCAACGATTGATCTGACAATTTTGCTGTTTTTATCCCCTTGAGTTCTCCTTTTCAAGATTTTTCACGGAAATTTACAGCAGACGTCTCATAATCGTTGCTATCGTTTTATCATTATCATCTTTCATTTTTCCGGAGAATTGCTTTATGATTCGTGAGAGATGGCAATAAAAGGGCTGCGTAAATCGTATTGCATGACCCTCTGCCCAAGTTTGTCAATCAAATGGTCCATGAAAATATAATTTTCCTCTCAATAATTACGTAATTGTGATTTAATAATATATTAAATACACCTCTTATTATAAGATAATCATAAATTGATTGAAGCTCCATATTTTTTAACACAAAATTATAATTTTACGTTTAATTTTCATTTCAATTTTCCATCCTTTGTTTATTTTTCACAATTTCTCTGAGGATTTTTTTTCCGTATCATTATTCATACGTTTCCTTCTCTCATAGCGGTACTATCGCAATTAACTCTCAGTCTGATCTGGAATATTGATATAATTTTTTTTACAAACAACAGACTTGGCCCACTCATGCTGGAGTTTCAATCACTCCTCCCCAACGAGACGATTCTGTCCGCCGTGAAAAGTCTACCCCAGAGCGTGAAGTTTCTCCGATCAATGGCAGAAATCCTGACAAAGCCAGAAATTAAGCAGTTGTTTGATCGTGGCCTGAGACTGGGTGATTTATTCAACAATCACGAAGTCGTGAAGAACTCTCTGATGAAGCAGTTGCCGGGTGTCCGGGAGACTCTCATAGATGATCTCTTTGATACCTCAATAAAACTGTATTATCTCATCGAATCGTTCGGCTCATCGAACATCGACGACGTTGTTTGCACCCCCTCCAGCCTCAAGGAATTCCTCATCGCCCCGAGAGAGGAAAATCTCCAAGAAATATCGAACGCTCTTTGCCACCTAGACTCCAGCCAAGTGCCTCTGATACTTCAAAAATTAACGGATCACCTGGACTTCGATGGTCTTCTGGAGGTGGTCAGTCGGGTGATGGCGAAATTCCGCGAGTACGACTTCATCGGCGACATTACAAAAACCATAATGACAACCCTGAACCTCGAAACAGTAATCAAACATGTCCCCGAGTACTTAAAACTCCGTGAATGGATTCCGAGCATTCTCTCTCTCTTCCGCACCTTGAGTTTCAAGAAAATCGACCTAAACTTCATCAACCGAACCATCGAAATCCTCGATCCAGTGTTCACAGGCGATCACAACTGGCCAGTCGCACGCTCTGGTTTATCCAAGTTGAATTCACTCCTGGAAATAATGAAAGAAGTACTCGAGAGAAATAGAACAGAGCAAGAACAGGGGAGTCCAACTGAACTTTCCACAGATCTGGGTGAACGTGTAAAAGCGTCTCCTCATCACCTTTTAAATCTAGAGGATGTGACTAAAATAATGGATGGTAGTTACAGAGTTCTCCAGGACGGTGTGAAACTGATGAAGCGATTGTTGGATCGTCACAAAGATGACATGGACTTGGCAGCAGAGGCTTTTGACAGTTTGAGAAACCTCTTCTCAGACAAGATCATGAACATGATGACGTATTTGAATTCCATGATGGAGAATGTCGTGCGGATGATCCACCACGTGGCGATAATCCACGAAGAGCTCCAACAGAGAATATACAACATATCGAAGACTCACGAGACGGTCGTCAATAAAATCCTGACTGAACTGAATCCCCAGTTTTACCGAAACCTCATTCAAACGTTTTCACACCCGTGGCAAACAGAGAAGTTCATCGAGGCTGCAGCTAAGATGCCCCTATCAGATATGATCTGTTCAAAAGAGACTTTCAACCAAATCTTCAAGCCGAATTCCTCACCTCCACGGGAATTCGAATTGATTTGCTCTGATGAGGGCAAACGATTCGTCAAAGACATCTCCAGGGCCCTCGAACTCCAAGAATTCCGAACAATTGTCGAGAACACATTAGAGACGTTCGTGAACATGGCCTTCAAGCAACCGGTCTCCATTGAAAAATCCAATACAACTTCATTACTTAAAAGTATAAAACTCTTCCTCAATTACCAGGAGCACCCGCCTCTGAAGAAGATCGACTGGAGTGACTTCAAGCTGTCAGAAAACTGGCTGAAGACGTTCCATGAGACTTCATCAGAAGGTCGAAAGGACATCCTGATGTATCACCTGAGTCTTGCAAAGATGATCGGACTCCGGAGTATTTCATACATGAAGATCAAGCCGGATCTGGAGAACATGGACATGATGGCGGACGTGATTCTCGATGATTTACGTGAGAACTCAACGAGTTGGATAAATGACGTTCGTGAGCACGAGTCAGAACTACTGGAGTCATTTTACCTGACAGTCTCGGATCGCAATAAAACATTGGAGATCCTCGAGTACTCAAATTTCACGCAGGTATATTGCGTCCCTTCAAATCCACCGTCCCTGATTAATTACCCGGAGCGTGGTAATGCCTCGTTGCTGAAGGCTCTTGTCTGCAGATTATCCCGTGCCGTCCAGAAGCAGCTGGACATACACGAAATACCTGTTTACCTATTAAGAGATCGTAAGCCCTTCAACTGGACTCTATTCAATGGTAAAGTCGTGGAAATCTACGGATACGTGGACTCGCTGGTGCAGTTCGACGATGAAAACGATTACTATTTCAAAAATCTAGAAAAATTCAAAAGAGATTTCACAGAGACTTGGACAACGAATCTCACTCCGGAGGACGGAGCACAGGTAATCGTCGGTGGGCTCTGCAGATTGTTCGGTCTAGCTGAGAGTCGGCTTTTTAATATTCAGGAGAAAGAAGGCTGGAGTAGCCTGCAGGCAGTTGCCTGGTCGATCTCCACGATCACCAACAAGATGGAGAGGATCCTGGACGATCTGTCAGGCATAAAAGAACCGGGAAGACCAACGGACCTGGACGACATGCCGGAGACTGATCTCCTGTTGGAGACAGCTCTTCGACATCTCCCCTCGATAAGTCTAGACCTCGTCAATATATTCACCCAGAAGAATCCCGTCCACATCATCACAATGATCACCGATCACATGAAGAAGGAGCCGAACTGGCCTTGCTCCCACAATCAGAGTCTCGGTGAGGCCCTCGGTCTCCGTCCTGGCACAATTCAGCTCGTCCAGCGGATCGAAAAAATAATCTGCAACCCTGGCCCCTTCATCAGAGAATGGACCACACAACCGACATTCTCAAGAACTGCCGAAATATTCGCTCCAAATGGTCCTGGAGACGTGCCAGCTTTCGACTGGACTGCGGGATATGTCAGATTCCGAGGACTCGTCAAGAAATTTTCCCCTCAAATTAAAAAACTGACCCCCGGAGAGATTGTCCAGGGTATCGCTAAAGTCCAGGAGAAAGCCAAAAGCTTTCTCGATTTCATTGACCTGGAGATCGATAAGGGTATACCAACGCTACAGAGCAATCTAACAGCCAGAGAAGCTTGGATGTCAACTGGAAGGGCGCGAGGAATTGATGAGATTCTCGTTATCGCTAAATTCACCTCCAAAGTACTTCACGATCTCGTTCATCTTGGCTTGGAGATACTGGAAAAACCTGTGGAGACTAATGCTAAAAGTTTGAACATTCTCACTCTCCTCGGATTCACGAGTAAGAGTATAGTATCTGTAGTGCACCAACGTCTCCCTTATATTTTAGCGAGCGTAGTTTACGGCATATCCGATCCAGAACTAGATCATCAGATATATAAAGCGATTGAGAATGGGAATGGTATAACGTGTACCGACATATTCTCATGGTTTTTTGATTACAAAGTGGGATTGACGGATGAGGAGTACTTGAATTTAAAAAATTTCACTTGCGATCATGATGCCCTTTATTTCAACGAATACTTCGATCTCTATCTCAAGGAGACTGCGTACTGGGGGAAACCCGTGTCTCAGTACAGAAGTTATTTCTTCACTTTGGCTTACGATATTCATGACTTGGCTGTAATTATTGAAGCTGCTGTTGATGGGAAAATGGGTATCGATCCGCCCGTCGATAAACAGTATCTCGATGGTGCTATTACTACTCTGAAGAATGTACTCCAGGTCCCTAGGGTATTAACATCCAAGTCACAAACAAAACAGCCGGAGAGTGGTTGGACAATTTATCGACTCATTGTTGAAGGTATTTCTGAGGCATTTAAAAACGCTGCTTACGCTCTCAAGGAGAACAAATTAGGGAATAATGTAGTGCACCTGTGGGACCTGGTGAGACCTGGGGATGTCCATCAGCTTGTTAAATTTATCGAGGCAAGGCCCAACGAGGCCCTTTCATTAGCCGCAACTCTCACGACCTTCAATAGATCAGATAATTCCTTGGATTCTCTCAAAGAACTCCGACACAGAATGTGTTATTTACGGTTCAATTCGAGTTACTGGAGGGAGAGGAACAACTCACAGTTCCTCGATCACATGTGCACGTACGATCCCCTTCAATTAGTGAGGAGTGCAACCAGTGAGGAATACGTGAATCTCGTCACAGGGAGAAGTTCATCGTTGGAAAAAATCGATCCTCTATCGAAATCGTTGATCAAGTTCATCGATGCCCTCTGGACAATTCGCGAAACCTCTGGGGAATTGACCTTTCACTCGTCAATCCTCAATTTTACAACATGGAGGCACCTTCCGAATGACTCCAGGAGATTAATTCACGAAGCGGAACAGTCGTGGGTGCACAAAATTCTCGTGGAACTGGTCCCCCTGGAGCACAATTTCTCGGTGCAGACATTTTCAGAGATCGGTTTGACCAAAATTCAGAGAAGATACGAAGATTCTATCCTGAATTCAGTACGACAGATCATGGAGCTCGTTGATGCCTGGATGAATTTAATATCCGGTGGAGATGTTTGGCAGAAGCTGCGGATGTCCTTCGAAAATACCAGAGTGAAATCGGTGTTGAATCTGATCGAAGATACCCCGAACCTCATCATCACGATTCTGGAGACATTCATCAGCTCCGAGAGACTTACCGATTTTTTCGATAAATTCTTAATTGGTCAGGTAAATCTCTGCGATGTGGAAAAATATCTCATACCCCCGCCTTACATCAGGAAGAAGGGAATTTTAACGAGCATCACGAATTTCTGCCAGAAGGTCCTCCTCGCTGATACCGCCGTCAGCATCAATGACCTCAAACCCCTGAGCATTCTCAATATATCACTCAGTGGAAATATTCTTGACGACATAAACATAAAAAATAGCGACGGCAATACTTGGATCCGAGTTACATTGAATGAGACATACTTTATGGACACTTTAGAAAATTTTCAATCGACCCTTTTGCGATCTGTCTGCGATGGCAATAAACCCCTAAAAGTACCTTCCTGGTGGATTTCATTCCGCGAAGGCACTTTAATTGACTTTAAAAAGCAATATCAAGAGAAAGATTTGCGCTCATTGTCCCACACTATAGTAACCAAGTCGATTAAAATTATCAAGAATATATTATTATCATCCACTGAGTTGAGGAGTTCGTGTTCGTTCTGCGACACTCGTGTCGTGGAGATTCTTAATTCGCAGTTGAGTAATCATCGGATATATTCGGATATTCTGTGCAAGTACAAGAGAATGAAAGTGTCAGAGCTGCAGGATGTGCTAAATGAGCAATTGTACTGGAAGAAGACTATCGGAATGATAAAGAATTACGAATTCATGACCAAGAAATTTAACGTCGAGAGCTTCATTATCGCAATTGAAGACAGCCTGCACTACATCACGGATATCATCATGGATTATAAAAATCCCACGGGTGATAACAAGCTGGAGTTGTGTCTGATGAATGCCGTGGAGGGTGTGAGGACCTTTTCACCGGCAATCTACGTTAAAATTTTGGTTGGCGGGCTTGATGGTTTGAGGGAAAATATAAAAATCATAGACACGGTAAATAACCACGAGACTCTACTCAATTATACAAGGTTGGCTGAGAAGTTCATCCCTATTTGGAAGCCCCTGAAGGACATAGTAAAACATTCTAGTGTTGTTGAAATCCAGAGGGTCTTGCCGAACGCCTCATTAAACGTGAATTTATTGTTCGGAGAGAGAACTAATTCCCTCTGCAAACGTCAGGACTGCAGAAATACGACGACTTTTAATAATTTTCTCAACTCCAGGGGAGCTCATAAGCTTCTTAATTACGAGCCCAGGGCTGCCAATTACCCATCAACTCTGGAGGTCTCGCAACTTTTAACAAACCACTTGGACTTTGAATTGATAAATCGTGAAATTGTGTCATGGAGAGCAAGTGCTGCATGGAATTTCACCTGGATACAACAGATTCTCGAGCATTTGACATTGGCACTGGAGGAGAGCGGTAGTCTCCTGGAAGTGGGAAGTAAAATTGATTTTCAAGATGTATCCAATGTCCTGGGAGTGCCTGACGTTGCTGACGGCGTTGTCTACCTTGTCAAGGACCGAACTATCGATAAACTCTTTGCTGCACTCAAGGACATCGTCGAGGACATCGAGCCATTCCTCGAGAGTCCTGAAGTTATCCGAGACCTCAACGCCATCGTCGACGCTTTTGAGTCCATGGAGATATTCAGGAATTTGGGGCTGTTGGATATGAAGTACTCGGTCTCGGAGATGTTCCAAGATTGGCGGGGCCTCCGCAAGTTTCTGGTTGAGGACATTAAGTTTTCTGATGATCTTGTGGATATTTTGAGTGGAACAAAGGTGGACATGCTCTCGGTGTTCATGAAGGAACGATCTGCACTGAGTCTGACGGATACCATTTGTTCCACTGACAAATTAGAGGAGATGCTAGAGTTCCAGGGGTCCAGCACATCTGCTGAGGAAGTCAGTCGTGTCCTCTGCTCTTTGAACTCATCGGTGACCCAGGATCTCGCGATAACTCTCATAAAAAATATAAACTTCGATTATGTCTTCAAGAACTTGATGAGCGCTAATGTGAAGAACATCCTGAAGAATGCGAATTTGTCGACGGCCGAGGGGAACGAGATATTCGATAATCTCGGGGTTGTGGGTGAACTCCTGCCGGTGTTCAAGGATAAGATGTCCTCGAATTTTTCTTCCGAGGAGTCTGAAACTATGAAGGAAAATTCCTCGACTCTCACCAGTGGTAAATTCCTGGAAGAAGCCAGTGAACTAATGTGTGGTAGACAGATGGTATCAGATAGTGGTGAATTTTACAGGATAATCAGTCAAATCGAGGACACTAAGAAAACAGTGGATCAGAGGGAATTGGATTCGTTGCCCACTGAATTTTGTCGGGACACTTACAAGAGTTTCTTGAGCATGACGGGGGGTAAAATCGTGTGGTCGTATGTCAAGCCCCTTCTCCGAGGTAGAATTCTCTACGCCCCGGATTCACCAGTGATACACAGAGTAATGAGCCTCGCAAATCAAACATTCCATGAAATGGAAATATTCAGTCAATTCATGTCGAGTATTGAAACAACGTTAATTGCTGTAGCTAATTTAACGGAGATGGGGGATAATTTGAAGGACTTGAAGGAGATAATGGGGTCTAAAGTGATGAAAATAGCTGTTAAATCGATGAGTGGAGGACGAGTCGAGGGTGATTTATCGAATTTTGAATTGGGAGATTTGGCGTGGAAATTGAAGAAATCAAATAAATTAATCACGATGATTGGAATGCTGAATAATCTAGTTGACTGTATTCTCATTGACAGAATGATTGGATTTTCAACGGAGGAGGAGCTCGAAGTGGAAGCACGAAAACTCACTGATACAAATGAATTTCTCGCTGGGGTAGTTTTTCTCGACAATGAGAAACTATCAAGGCGATCTCTGGGGGTCGAAACTTTGGGGTACGATGTTAAATATAAAATACGGATGGACGTGGATTACGTACCATCGACAAAGAGATTGAAAAATCAATTTTGGGTACCTGGACCTGAAGGCTCATTTATCGAGGATTTGAGATATCTGCGGGGTTTTGTACAACTTCAGGACTCTATTGATCGGGCTATTATTGAAGTGAAATCGGGGAAGGAGCAGAATTGGAAAACCGTGTCACAACAAATGCCTTATCCATGCTGGAAGTACGCACCCTTTCAGAGAACTCTCTACGAGTCCCAGGGTTTAATCACGTGTTTTTTCTTCGCTATGATGATGTGCGTCGGCTCGGCAGTTCGATACATCGTTTGGGAGAGGGAATCACAGAATTCAATGGTAATGAGTGTAATGGGATTAAAACCCTGGAGGAATACTCTCGCTTGGTTCATTACCACGACAATTGAGTTGACGATTGTCGTAACGTCAATTTGCATAATTCTCGTTGCTGGAAAAATTCTACCACTCTCGGATCCTGTTCTAATTATGATTCTCTTTCTCGATTACGTTTTTGCGGCTGTTACATTTTGTTACATGATCAGTACAATGTTCAGATCGGCTAGTTTGGCTGCTGTGACCACTGTTGTTATGTTTCTACTGACTTATATGCCTTATGTTATTGTTATTGCTATGGAGGCTACGATGGGACTTGCCTGCAATTTTATTTTGGTAAGTTTTTGTTATCATTCTACGCTGAGAGAAATTTCATTGGGATTCTGGAGGCGAATAGTCTTTTTTTACAACCATTTGCATCGGGTTTAAGCGCCATTTTACAAGGGGCATTCCTCATTTTTTTTTTGAATCTCATAAATTAATGGAGAAATCGAATTTTCGGTCATGGGAATAATTTTGAATGTGGCTATATTGCTTTATTGGTTGATGTATGAGTTTCTCTCAGTTCAATGAATGGAGATCCAATGAGAAACTTTGGATGATGGAAATTTCAGTGTCTCAGTATGTCGACGAGTTTTTCCTACGGATGTTTGTATGCGGTTCGCCGAGAGGTTCAAGGGACCGGCATGCACTGGAATCACATATGGCAACAGCCAAGCCCTGGGGATCCCATGTCCTTCGGTATGATACTCATCATGATAGCAGTGGACGGTTGTCTGTACGCAGCAATCGGCTACACAATAGTCCGATATACAAATTCAGGTAAAGCACTGAAAATTCTCTCAACAGCTCTTTTAATTCTGCGGTACTCAAATAACTTTTCTCTCCCATAAATGTTTCAAGGAAATTGTCTTAATTTATTAATCTCTCTGCATTTCCATTAAGATTATTTCATGAGCACTTAACTAGGAGCAAGGAAAAATGTGAATAAACATTTTCAGGGAAAGGCTCACCGAGTCTGCGATCGCGTAGTTTGTGGTGGTCCGATCCACGTGCACTATTCGGACAGCCTAGCTACCTTGCATTCGTCAACAATCTCTATTTCACTAATGATGTACTGCACAATTCGACGACTTATCAAGGTATCACTATTCACTGCACACCATGATCATTTGTACGTTTTAATTGGCATGTATTCGATTTGACAGCGCAGATTTGTGTTTAATTCAAACATAACAATTTGGGTGGGCGGCCTTCATTAATCACCTAACGAAGAACGAGGTGAATTCATAACATTCGTTGGTGTGCTATAAAGTTTATTTAATGAATATCACAATGGCCTACTAAATTTATTCAGAATAATCATCAATTTACGAATTTACGAGTTTGCAGATAAAAATGTACCGTTTTTCCATTTTATCATTATATCATGACTCGTAAAGTGTCATGCACGTGCCATAATTGAACAAATGAATAAAAAAACAAAAAAATTATAGTACGATCATGAAATTTTGGGGGTCATTAAATGATCATAAAATGCGGCGAATCGTTGCCGAAATACCCTCCCATTTTTAAACATGTGAAGTTCGAAATAATTATATATTCTGTATTTTCGAATAATCACACCTGGAAAATGATTTCCCCTCCGTCCAGATGAGGACAATGATTCAACGATAATGGCAGTGAGTGAAAAACAAGTAGGTGTGCGATTCGAAGGCGTAAAGAAGGTTTACACGACAGAACAGGGAGAGTACACAGCCGTAGACGATTTCACCCTAAAATTGTGTAAAGGAGAAGTAACCGGCCTTCTGGGTCGTAACGGAGCTGGCAAAACCACAATAATAAAGATGTTAACAGGCATGATAGCCCCGACATGCGGTGAAATATATCTGGACGGTGAAGAAGGGAGCAAACCAGACATCGGTGTTTGCCCTCAGGAGAATGTCCTCATCGACACCTTAACACCACGAGAGCACATGATATTCTACTCGAAACTGAAAAGACCACTGAGCGAGGAAGAAATGCTGAAAGACGTTAACTCAATGCTGGCATCCCTGGAATTGGGTAAACAGGAGCACGAACCGGTGTCCAGACTATCTGGTGGAACCAAAAGACGTCTTTGTGTGGCCCTAGCCTTCCTCGGCTCTCCAAAACTGGTGATCCTGGATGAGCCTGGTGCTGGTGTTGATCCAGCGGCCAGAAGACGCATTTGGCATCTGATTGACCAACACAGGCAGAATCGAACTGTTCTTTTATCAACGCATCACCTGGACGAGGCTGATATGCTGAGTGATACAGTTGTGGTGATGCACAAAGGGAAGATTCTGTGCACCGGTTCACCCTTGAGCCTTAAAACTACATATGGGCAGGGCTATTGGTTGAACATAGCCTTCTCAAATACCGAATCTGATCAGTATAATCAATATGCTGAACGCCAACGGCTGGAGCAGCTGCGAAAATTGGTGGAGGGTGTTGTTTCAAATGCGAGTGTTGATTCCCTGGGCTCTGAAGTGAGGGTGAACCTTCCCTTCCAGGGTAAACACGGCGTCGCTAATGACATTGCTAGAGTGATTAAAAATCTGGAGGAGAACAAGACGAGCTTGGGCTTCTCGAGGATTTCGTTGGACTGTGATACATTGGAGAGGGTTTTTCTAAATCTGTGTGGAAAAGCCGAGAACGAGAGTTCGGTAATTGGTGGGAGTCTGGCTAGTGTAAATAGTGGGGGCTCGACTCATGTAAATATCTCCGATGATACTGAAAATATAATAACTGAAATGATGGTTAAGCCTTCACCGTGGAGGCAAGCTCGGGCTCTTTTGAAGAAGAGAATGTGGCATTTTTCGAGAGATTGGCGTGCACCACTGGCTACTCTCCTTTTACCTACTGTTTTTGTCGCCATTGCTATGGGTTTTTCACTCATTAGACCACCGTCGAGCGATGAACCACCTCTCGATCTCAGTCCCAAGCTCTATGATACCCATGTGACTTATTTTTACAGTATTGATAATAGTAGTGATTTATTTTTACAACGGGTATCGTCGCAATTGTATGATAAATTTGGGGGTGATTATGCTGGGGCTTGGCAAATTCAACCCAACGACACTGGCACTTGTGAATGTTTGGAGGGCCAACAAGTTTGTCACGGAGTTTCCAAGTCGGTTGAGGGACTCTTTCAGACGCTCCCCGGGCGGCCAACTCTCGATTGGATAGTTTCCACTTTTCATGAATACATTGAAAAGAGGTAAGTACCTTTGGATTTACTTTTAATGAAGAGTTTAATTTAACTCTAATTAAAAGATGGGGTTTATGGACTTTGAGAATATCCGAGTATCTTTCCGAGTTTGGCATCGGTTCTACTGAAGATTTGGAAATTCAAACGTCAAGTTTGTCTCTTTAATTGCGGCCAAAAATTTTCAAATTATTTGTAGATAATTAGAGGATGTAAATACGGGTTGGAAGGCGTTAGTATTTGTTGTCATGTTTCCTTTCTTATATTTTTGCGTTTATTGCTAGGGATGGCACTGAGTTGAAATCGATTGTTTTGGTAAAATCGAATTTTTTATTCAATCAATCGGTGATTCCATAGATATTCGCTGTGCAGATGATCATAAAACCCCCAGAGACAAAATAAAATGGGAAAATATGACAGCAAATTTTTTTTTTCTCGTTCACTCCGAGCTAATCTAGAATATTTCCGGGAATAAAGTGACTCTGAAAAATTGATTTTTACGTACAAATCCGAAGTACAATATAAATTATTAGATCCATATTATCAGTGTGTAATTTTGATCCTCCGCACTCGCTCCGAAATACACGGAAATCATTAAAAAATTCTCGGTATCCAATGGTTGAATGGAGCCGAAATGACACAATTACAAAGAGTGAAAAGGATTTTCAAAAGAAAAGCAGAACTCACCACTTGGATGTCGTAGATCCGTCCATCGTGAGTAATAGTACGTAGATATCTTGTTGGGTCGAACGGACTTTTACGGTACGCAATAAAAACAGCTTGACGACTTTTTTCATTCGAAATATCACTACCCTTTTTCATTACTTCACGTTCCGGTAGAATTATCCATTCCCATAGAACTGGCGATGAAAAACAAATATTAATGTACGTGAATATGAGTTCTGGTACCCAGAGGGTGTAACACAGCTCGAGTGAGCACCAAAGCGTGAAAATTCCTGAGGCATTTTGAAAACAATTATAAAATTTCCTCACCTCATGAATTATTATCCAATGCGGAATTATTCCATACGTTGAGAATAATGAGATTTATTATTTGGTATGAGTGAATAATCGCCCTTGATTTATCTGCTTTTTTTTTTCTTCTTCAAGATATGGCGGCTGGTCTTTGTCCCACTGGAAAGAAGATCCATTATTCGTGGTTTGGTTCAATAACAAAGGACACCATTCATTACCAGCGTATCTCAATTCACTGAATGGTGCTATTTTACGGGCTTCTGGGGTTCCTGGGCGGATAACGACTTTTAATCATCCACTCAAGTTGTCCAGTGACCAACTAAATCGCACCAGTGTGTGAGTAATTATTAAACAACAATTCACTTTTGTGCATTCAGGAAAATGCTGACTGTTCTCCTCCACCACATAAATATTTTAGAAGCAGTAAATTAAATTATTAATAATCATTCAATATGGATTCATGCACATAGGTCGTACCTAATCTATTGAAAGAAATTGTTTTTTTGCCAAGCAGTTTAACGGAATATGCACGAAATTTGATGATACAATTTTCTATTTCTTTTTCGGAGGCAGTCAATCGATTCAAATAATCCTCGACGTAATCCTCTACTCAATAGGAGGATGTATTGAATTATTGACATTGGATTTCGTCCCTGGGCAGACAGAATGGGCTTACATAAAGCACTCCGTACGTTTTATGTAAAGAGGCGCATGTACAAAGTGACAATTTTGTGGAAGTAAAAAATTTGAAACTTGAGGGACGCGTTATGTAAAATTATTGTGATGTCGACAGCCAACGGTGTTTGAAACTTTTGAATTGGGTTCGACTGAATTTTTCCTGGGAGGGCTGTTTGTGTTGGGGAGAATGAGCGAATACACTTGGCTCCAATAAACATTGTCATATAAAAACATGGAGGGAATGAACAGTTGTGCAAGTATAATGAAGATATTTCTCGTTATAGAGCCAGGGAAAAGAAAACATTCGGTTATTTGGAGTGAAAAATCAATTTTCCACGCGATTAATTCGCGAAAGACTGAATTTTCTATTAAAATTAAATGCATGTTATTAATTTCGGATTCGTAAGAGAGTTATCCAAGAATTTTAATATTCTTACACTAACGCTTGTATTAATTAATGTTAAAAAATTCATGGATTATTCATAGATTCTCATAATTCCTTTAGACTTCAACGATAATCGAGAAATTCTGAAGATCTCTCGGGATTTCTCTCGTTTTAAACTTCTTTTAAAGAACTATTCACATAAAAGACGAGTAAATACAGAGTCCCAATACACTTTGCCCTACAGACATAAATAATGAAGACAAGACCAGTTGTGGACATGCAACGAAGAAATTCCGTGCTGTGGGCAGTAAACATTTTCTTTTATATTTAATTCTTCACGAAAAAAAACTATTTCAAGAATTGCTAACTGAAAAACTTGCATAAACAGAGTATTTCTACTGCATACCATAACATTGCTACCCAATGCATATGTAAAAGTCTTTAGAGATAAAAAAAAAAGTCGCAATCCACTCCGGCCGCATCAAAATCCTCTTGAGAGACAATTTATGCAAGAAGAAGTAAATGCCCTAGATTTCGATCAACAATGGGATATATACACACATGATATATATATGACCAGTTTCGCTAATGGAAATAAAACAACTTTCGTTGCGGAAAAATAAACATTTACTCTTAATACATAATCCGTCATAATATTTAGCCTATCATAATTTGAAAATGCGGAGAGAACAATTCACCGGAAAATTACAGAAAAACCTTGAATGATTCGCCCGGAATTTGGGGATTCATCACGTAATGTTCAATTAATTTTATTTCATTTGCTCGTGGAGATGGAAAATTAATTGATTTCTAATGTCATTGTCCGGTTCAACCACATCAATTTTTTTTAATAGAAAATGATAATGACCCACTGGAGTCTCGTTCACTACAAAAATTATTCCGTTTTCCCTTTCCTCCGCGGATTGTGGAGGTCTCAAGAGGCAGACACTCGCGTTTCTCGTCCACGACTCGTTAAACTTCTGTTTGCCTTCGGACTTGCCAGGGTTCATGGGACTTTGTAATTGCTTTTCCAAGTTGAGTCTGTTCGCTTTTTCTCGTGGGAGTCGGGGGGGTTTGAACGACTCACAGACGAAGAAAAGAAAACTTGAATGAAATATGGAAAGCCGTTGGAAGAGCTCCCCCAAAATAGTATCAATTAATCCAACTGATGAGGATCAAACCAAGCTCGGGTGAAGCATTATTTATATTTAACCTAGGATTATTTACAGGCTTCAGCACGTTGCGGATGTTGGAATCGCCCTGGTGCTTCTGATTGCCTTCAGTCTGGTTGCAGCACAAGGTGCCAGGGAACTTGTTAGAGAAAGATTGTCGGAAGAAAAACGTATTCTATATCTCGCTGGAGTCCACCCTGCTACCTATTGGACAACTGCATTTGTCTGGGATTTCCTAGTTTTCCTTTGGTCAATTGCACTGGCTGTCATTGTTTTCGAGATTTTTGGATTACCAGCTTATGTCGCCAGAGCCAACCTCCAGGGAACGTGTTTGCTCCTTATGCTCTTTGCGTAAGTTCCTTTGATTTGGCATGAAATAAATTATTTATGAGCAATTCGTGGAAATACTTCTTAATAACTTCGAAATTAATTTTTTCATTCAGATATTTGGAATGTATACGAGAATGAGTTGCTAGAGTCTTTGAACATTTTCCATAAAACTTATGATTTATGAAGATTAAGGGAAAAATCGTAATGTTTATGGAGGTTCGGAAGTTTTTATTATAAATTTTTATGATAGCTGTGAAAGAACTTCACACCCTCAACAAGACGATTCTACCTAAATTTATGACGAAAATTAGAACCCAATAATGTTTTCTCCCCGTTGGAGGAAAAATTTTCCCCGAAATAATGCCTAGGCAAAATGAAATTCACATTTTTCCCCTCGTATCAAGGAACTTCTTCCCCGACCTGCCTTCGGACTTGCAGGGCTCGTTGTACAGTCGACCCAATCGATGAAATCCCCAACGTATTACTGCCGAAAATCCAGAAATATCGAAACTAAATGTGATTTCCCAATTCAGTCGTTTTTATTGATAAAAAAAAGTGCCGTTATCAATAGTAATATATTATATCCTCAACGCTGCGATATTTCATGCAGCTGTCATTCCACCGAAATATCCCATTCTCTCTGGATCAAATTGATTTCCAGTGATGTTTGTTTTAATTGAAAATACTAAGCCTTGAAAAAATTATTCGAAGCAAACAACAGCAATCCGCGAATTAAAAAAATAATGAAATGTAAAGGCACTTCAGTGGGTTGTGCAATATTTCAATTCAATTTTTCAGATGGGCATCCATTCCATTCACCCATTTCATGGAAAAAACCTTCGACGACGCAACTCTGTCCAACATGGTTCTCTTCTGCCTGAACACATTTATCGGAGTAATTTGTCTCGCCACAATCCTAGTGATTGACATAGTAGGAAAAAGTCAAACAGCAAAAGATACACGCCAACTGCTTCATAATTTGATGTTATTTTTTCCACAATACGCACTGGGTGATGGTCTCGTGCAGATGTCAACAAATGACATTACAGCTGAACTACTCGAGAGATTCAACATGGATACGTACAAATCACCGCTTGGTTGGTCACTCATAGGACAGCATTACGTATACCTCTTCTCAGTTGGTGTGGCATTTTATCTGGTCAACATAATCACTGAGTGCCGACTTTTTTCCTTGGGCAAGCGAAATTCCACAGTGAATGATAAAATAAACGACGAGGACGAAGACGTCTCGATGGAGAGAATGCGAGTGGAGAAGAGCACTGACAGAGACATAATTAAAACAGTCAGACTGAGAAAGGAATATCGCAGTGTTTACGGTAGAAATGTTGCTGTGAAAAACTTGAGCTTTGGTGTACAAACTGGCACTTGTTTCGGTTTGTTGGGCATTAATGGAGCTGGTAAAAGTACAACCTTCAAGATGCTGACAACGGAGATAACACCGACATCGGGCAAGATTATACTCAAGGGCCATCAAGTAGGCTCCAAGCCACTGTGCAATGGTGAAATTGGCTATTGCTCTCAGAGTGATTCCCTCGATGGATTCCTCACTCCTCATCAGTCCTTGACTATTCACGGTGAAATATGTGGTATGGCTAATGTACCGAGAGCCGTTGCCTCGATGCTCAAAAGATTTGACTTGTCCAAGTACGCGCATCAACGAATTTCAAGCCTAAGTGGTGGAAACAAGAGGAAATTGTGTGCAGCAATTAGTGTGATGACACCAGTTTCGATTGTTCTCATGGATGAGCCAACCAGTGGTATGGATCCAGCATCCAAGGAACTTGTGGCACGTGCTATTCATCAAGTAACCCGGACCGAGGCCTCCGTTATTATGACATCTCACAGTGTTGCTGAGTGTGAAAAATTGTGCAATCGTGTTGGCATTCTTGCACGTGCTGGACTACGATGCATTGGAAGCCCTCAGCATCTTAAACACAAGTATGCATATCACTGCCTTGTTTCTCCCTTTTTTGTTTTACTCTGCTTTTTCGCATTCCAATTTTCATCCTGCTACCCAAATAAACACGAGTCCACGTGTACACACCCTCATGTAAATTTAAAGCTCACTTCCGCCCTCACAACCAAAACCCCAATTAAAATGCATAAGGGATGAATTAATTCATTTTACCAGCATTTGTCGATGTAGTTCGGCAAAATAATTGGTTCGTTTATTCTGATTACTCTGGTTATTCTGATTATCAATCCGTGAATAATAAGTTGCGACGCCATGGAGAGTAAAAAAAAAGAGGACGTGAGTAGAAGGGAAAATGACCTTAACGAAGAATAAGCCATTAGCTTGAGAGGGATTAAGTGGGGATTCCTTTGATAACAAAATGCCAGGGTAAGATTGAAACGCATTAACCGACGGCAAAAGCGGAAGAGACACAAACGAAGGACCACTTTGTCACTTATTCCTTTTAATTGGGATACATTACACACCTGGAATATAATATCTCGGCGGGGTTTTCTTCATTCTATCCAAACTCCATCGTCCCTTCGACCGTACTGAGGTACTTAATGCGCACTTGCGCAAACTCACTAACAGAATAATGTATGACGTCATAAATATTTAAACTCGCTTACCCGGTGTGCCTCTTCTATTTTCTCTTTTTATTCCTCCTTGTATCCGGCAGTCGTCCGTTTCGTACTAGATACCTATATCCCAAAATCGACTGGGGTAAAGATTTATGAGAGTGTGTCATTCATGATTTATCTGTAAATCCCGTTCTCTGATTATGTTAAATTTTTATTATTGCAGGTACGGCGAGGGTTACGTGGCGTTTTTGAGATTTCCACGATCGATAGTGCCTGGTGAATTGAAGGATGTGATATATCGGTATTTTCCAATGGCTGAGGTATTCTCGAGACAGGCTAAAGCTGCGCGGTTACTGATACCGCAGAATCACGAGTTGGTGCTCAGTGAAATTTTCACAAAGTTCAAGTGCCTTGCTTGTGACTTGAAAGCCACAGATTACACACTAACCCAGAGCTCCTTGGACCAGGTATTTATATTTTACGATACATTCATATTCACTGTTTGTATGGCAAATTCAACACCGCATTGTGGCTTTTACCACTCAACTCGGTGGGTGTAGACGTATTACCGTGACGTTGCTCACAATAGTTGGTTTTAAAGAATATTAATGGAGGCCATTTTGCCTTGCTGGGCGAAGGCATATACCTTAATGTGGCATCAACCTTCACTGACTCCAGGTCATATCGTGTCCAGCACTCACAATGCTAATATCCCAGAGTAATGTCCACCGTTGTCCTTTTTTCATGATCTTTCTTTTTTTACAATCTTCGTAACCACTTTCCCGCGTGAAAGAAGGGAAAGGCTCTCTCTTTGTGATAGGGTCTCACTACCAGACTCTGTAAATTGATGGCACTTTAATAGGATCTTTTTTATTTTTATCTTTTCTCTGTGGCTGAGGGGAGACCACTATGGGCTTTAAAAGTCGCGGATTATTCAATAATATGGAATCTGAACTTTGAAAGTCTAATTCAAGTATTTGAGGAATATTGGAAGAATCATTTTGCAATTGTTAATGGGAAAAATAATAATTTTTATCAAGATCGTTCGACTTTAAGGAATCTTGGCAAAAAGTTCTGCGATAAGAATTAAGTTCGTCCTAGAAATTTAATTTCTCCCTCAATGTACTATTTTTTTTTTCGTCTTTGGCAGTTACACAAATCGGAATTTCAAGTTAATCCATTCAGCTTGTAGTTTACATTTTAACGAGGTGTAAATATATGGCAGATGCTTACAATTACTCCAGAGATTTTTTTTCCTCTCGTTAGTATCTCTCACTCATTAGCGTTAATAACAGTTGCGATGAATTTCGACGTTCTCCAGTTGGCCTCAAAATGAATATTTAAAAAAGTGGTATTCTCAATCCGAGGGCCCTATCTCAGGAACATCGGGTGCCTATAAACAGGAACTTTTTCCCCATTCAGCCCATTAACGTGAATCTCACTCCACCCTAGTCTACCGAGTTCAGTGCTACTATTGCTGCACACTCACCCTCCCAAGCAAGCACAGTAAGATCTAGTACGCTTTTCACGTAAATGGGTTCAATAACATGGGTCCTTAAGCTCCCAAGGGAGTAACAGTTATGATTTTCTTTTTAAAAAAGCCCCAGACAAGCTCTCTGAATTCTAAACTCGTGCAAATCCACTGCATTATAATGAATATATATTCCATGTTTGATTCCATTCCAGATGTTTTTAATCCAATTTTTCTGTCAAACTTCGATTTTAATTTCACTAATAAGTGAGTTGATAAGAGTTTAAAAATTTGTGGAAAAAGAAAATTGAAGGCTTTTTTTTGGCCCAATATTTACTCACAGTTGAGAAGAAGTTGCCACATAATCGGGTTAAATTCGAGTATAAAAAGTTGGTAAATGTCATAAAAGGATTTTCCTCGAACTGTTGCAGTTAATGGCCCAAACTTTTGATTTCACTGCAGCAGTTTATCGTGCATTCTTGATGATAAAAACAATATATTCGTTGGATATATATTTATCCCGCGAATATTTCATATTAAGCGTTAAAGAAGTGGAGGCAATTCCTGAGATACGATTTTTATTGTCGTGATATACGTGAGAGAACGGTTTATGGTCTTTCATGCCCAACACCCGCACCGGTAACTCCAGTGTTTGAAAAAGAAACTTTATGGTCATAAAGCCATTCATTCAAATGTATAGGTTACACGCAAAAGAGTCAATCTGCGAGTTTTTTTTTTTCATAGGAAAAATAAGTTTGTGAATTTTGAATCGTTTGGCTTCAGCCACGTGAAATTTCTAAGTTTTTGATAGCCTTTTCGATGGTGAAACATGTTAGTTCACGTCGTCAAACTTTTATGGCAGAGTTGTTCGTAGGCAGCCGAGAAAAACGAGAAGTGTCAATCAACCTCTGTTTCGTGTCTTTCACCCTCTCGTGGAGGTACTTTATCTCTTTCCGCTTCAGCATGAAATATCCCAATGTTAAGGAAGCTTCACCCTGAGGAATGGTATATCACTCCCCCGAAGGGTCCGAAGAACCTCTTCCTAATATAATTCACATCGAAAGAGTGATAAAGGATCCCTGTGTCCAGTTATTTCAATCCCCAATCAAACCGAAATAATTCACTGAAAATCTTCACGTGAAACTTCCGACTGAAATGTCGATAGCTATTTCCAATCCCAAAATATTAATTCAAATAAAGAATGGCATCGAAAAAATTTGCACTGAAAAAAAAATGGCGATGGAAATGGAGAATCGATTCATAAATCTCAGAATTCCAAGTGCCAATTTAATTATTGAAATGTGCAGCGACACGAGGATAAATTTGCAATCCCTAGAATAACCCCTAACCGTCTGATCCCTTTTCTCGAGATCCTATTCATCTTGGAATTGATCTTTTTCCACAGAGCAATGAGACTTTAAACTTTATTGACCCATACCTGGAGCGACATGGAGTCAACGAGAAACAACAACTTTTCCATTTCTATCGTTTTTTTTTATGATTCCGTTCAGACCTACTTCACCAGTTATACGATGAGATAAAACATCCTCAGTTCAATTTTGACATTATCGTCTGATCCAATTCACTGATAATAACGTCGAAAATGTGTATCACTTCCATTAATAATGAATTTGAGCATTAAATCCTGTCATTCCATCTCGCGAACTCAAAAGTACCGCCCCATTTTGCAATAGGTAATTATTATTTTCATTAAAAAATCTTAAGGAAAATTCAATCATTATAGTGAGCATGAGCAATTATACTGAGAACATATTTATGACTTTATCTGATTATTTAATGGAGTGTTTTTGCCAAATTTCTTTTCGTTTCGTTTTTAAAGGGAACGAATGGAATATTTGACGTTGAAACCAAACAGAGATTCTTCTCCGTAATATTTACTTGCAGTTGAGTTCAGGGGAGACATTGTCGCCTGTTTTTCATCGGTGATAACGTTGGTAAATGTTAAAGTGCATCATTGTTAATGGATTTGACGGTTAAATCCTGTCACTCGATATCTTTCCGAAAACGAGAGAACTGTTGTTTCCCCGTGCCAGTGCTTTCTGGAATTTCTTAAATATCTCTTTTTCATCCCACTCACGTTGTTGAAACGATAACAAGGGAGTGACTGTAAGTGATGAGTGCTGTTCTCAGTTTGGGAAGAGTTTCGACAGTTCTCCCTTGTGCTCTTTCATCCTGTCACTCAGAGCGCGCAACATCCAGACTTCCACCTAAACAAGTAAAAGGATGGATAGGTAGAACTTTGACTCGCACTTCAATCACATTTACAAAAGGAGAAAAGCCACAACGAAAGGTGAATTTTTGATTCATAACTCCAGTGAAATTTATGGCAGTGAATGTATCAAAAATTTATGCTCGAATAACAAAAATTCATCACGAAGTCTGGAGATTTTTTTTTTCTTCTTCATCCTCAAACTTCAAGTGTACACGTTGAAATTTAGAGCACTGAGATTCCATCGAGTTTACCCTTCATCCTCGAGAGGAAAAATGGCCCCATGAACTTTCGTTAATAAACTAGCCAAACTACTTTTATACCATCGTCTTTTATTAAGGACTACCGAACGAAATCGTTAAGATGTAGCACCACCCCTTGAATAACTCATACGAAATTTTCATTATCACCATAGAAATAACTAACCCAACGTGAGTTTATCCTGCGCTCCATAATTTTCATGAAACTTATTTTTCCCATGGAATCTATTGTCGCTTCAAACTGATTTTTTATTTCTCTCTAGGTGCTGGTGAACTTTTCTACAGGGAGTGAAGACGATTGCTCAGATTTGCGGTCCAATTCGAGGAGAAGGATAAATCTCAACCAGCAGCACGGCGTGGATGGCATCCACATGGATACATTTTGATAAAAAAAGTAAATATTCGAAAGAGTGGAAAGGAAAAGGAATAAATCATGTCACGACTTTGTAATCTTTTTTTATTGTCTTCTGCTGTTGCATCCGAGCTCTTTCCATTTCTAAAGAACGCAGGGCTTTTTTTTACGACGACCGAGAAAAATGGTCTGTATATTGAATAACGGAATGCAATTGTAATAAATGATGACCTACTTATTACCAAGGCATCAATTCCACCTTGAAATATACTAGATTAACGAGATTTTTTGAAACTTGTTCAACTAAAAATTTTAATGAATAATTTTCATGGTATTAACAATCATAAATTGATTACCTCATCTTTCACGCATGGCTAAACTTTTTGGATACAATAAATGGTGATGGTATGTTTATCTAAATAACAAGGGAAAGTGGATGCTCGTTTCAACACGACTATCAACAAATCTCGTGGAAGAGGAAAATTTGCGGATGATAGAAAACAAAATACATTCACCAGATTTCTATTACGAAAGGACAACGAACCATTGTTGTATTCTAAGTTATAATATCACTTCCCTTGCCTTTGTTTTCAACTTCTTCGTATTTTTCTATCTCTCCCATTGCGGGATTCTTTTGTGTCCTCTGTTGGAGCCACATTCAATTCACTAGCTGTAGAGGACGGGTTGAGTGTAACCAAATTCAATTTATCCCTCCAGAGTCTATTCCGTTTGAATAATTTTTGTTGATCAATAGAAAATCGAATTTCGAGGGCAGATGCCTCGGTTTATTCGAATCATTGAATAGGGATGTGGGACTTGAAGCGAGTCATCAATAAGTTGAGGATTTTTCTAATTCATGATGGACAAACCAATGATTGTGGGAAGAGATTTATTTGAAACAATTGTAACATCTTGGAGACACTTTGTTGCTCACTCGGTCTCCCCTGTGGGTCAAATGATCGTACCATCTACTGCCAGAGTCCGCTGGGAAGATAAACTTTTATTATTGGTGGGAGGATAGCACCGTGTGTCTTCCCAAGTTCAATTTTCTTCGCTTCGAGGACTCGTTTCACGCGCTGTGTAAAAACTTGCTCCCATCTATTACAGGAATAAGGAGAATTTTCTACGAGAAAGAAATTGGCGTAGAGAGAAGGGAATTCGGTTGTTGTACAACATCACGGAAGTTTTCTTCATTGAATAATTATGGAGGGGCTGAGTGCTAAATTCAGAGTTCGGAATTCAGAAAAACTAGGGAATTCAGGAGCGCGTTTTCAGGATCGTCGATAAGAGATGATGAGAGCGTGACGTTTTATAATCTATCATAACACGAAAGATCGTAAAACGATGGAAAATATCGGTGTTCTAACGCTGAAGTAGAAAACTTATCTCGCGAACATAAATGTCGAGACATTACTGTAGCTTTATTGAATAATTATTTGAAAACATTACGTAAATATTTTCTTAAATTCGTTTCGACTGCAAACGTTCATTCAATCGATAACTGTAGATTCGATAGAGGGAATTTTATTTACATTGAAGCTCGGCAATGTTGAAAAAACGATTTTTTATAATAATTCCAAAGAAATCCCGGAGAGATGTCACGAATAATGTGAAGAAACAGCTGGAAAAATAAATCTTTTAGTACATGTACTATTCACCAGTGGATAAGTACGGGCATATCCAGACCAAATGAAATCTGACTTTAGCTCTCGCGTTTTCAACCATAAAAAACCCATAACGATGAGCCAGGTAACGAAACATATGCATGTACCATGGCAAAACCATCAGAGTAGATTGAACAGTCTTCATTAAACCATACGGGCGAAAATATATGACTTCATGTCTTCGCACTATAAAATCCTCGTAACTTTGATGAGACTCACTAGAACGGCATCATTGTCGCTGGCCAGGATACCAGACATGAAAAATAAATTAACGTAATTTCCAGTAACGAGAATTGTATTAACCGAAATGATATCACGTACATCAAGTTGGGTACTTAATTACCCTCTAATTTTCATTCTCGGAAAAATATAAAGGGTCGATGGAAAATTCATGCGTGCACTTGGGGTGGAGTCAAAATGAAAATTGAAGATTTTAAAAATAGTTTTAATAATAGCTATGAAGAGAAATTATCGAGGGGAAATCTGACACGACCCCAGGAAAAAATAGAATGTGAAATTATGTGAAATGAATCTGTATAGATTTGATATAAATGGGGAAAAAAATAATAATTTGTTATCACTGGATAGTTATTCTTTCTGTAAGATTTTTGGGTTCTATAGAATAATATTATTGGATGAGTTACGGAGGTCCGAGAAGATTTGTTCTTATCCATCACCCTGGGCTTATATCACGTCGACAAGATCCAAAGAAAAATATAAAAGAGTTGTGTTATGGTGAGACGAACCCGTTTCATTGTTACAAAACCCAGAAATGTTTATTTTGCTCATTGTGCACAGAGGAGTCGTTAACACCTACCACTACCGGTGGCAGTTCTTTTCCGGTGCTGTGGCTCAAATGTTTTCTAATAGTGCATTTACAGTACGTTCATTGCTCTGGCCAGTTTTTTTTTCCTTGTCGGTAGCTTTATCTAATGGTTATCGTCAGGCAGATACATGTAGAGCCAGACAATCGGTTCAAATGGATCTTCAAGAGAGTAATCCGAACATTAAGAGACATTTCGCAGGTTGTACAGAGCCGATTTCCTCCACCACCATCAGCTTAAAATTTTTTTTCTCCTACCGCCTATCAAGGGTATCATAATCCTGAGGGGCAATTGTCGGACTAAGTATTTATCAATTCAAATATACAAAAGGATATAACGAAATTTCGAGGTCTTTAATAATTTCGAGGTTTTCAATAATTGCAGACGGTAATTAACATTTTTTATTGTTTTATTTTCTTATTTTTTTTTAATTGATATTTTGTATTGAAATTCAATGTTCACAATAATGACAGAAATTGAAAAGTTTTCGTGTTAATAGAATTTAATTTTTTCATTGTTAAAAATCGTCATCTGTGCATTCTTATCCAATTTGCAAGGGGAAATAGTCATAACTGAATACGACAGTCTCAATTTTACTAATTGCTCTGCCGGAGTATTACGACATTGCTGATATACTGCTTCTTGTTTCAATTATCTTCCACTCCGAGCATTTCTCAGTCTCAAGACTGCGCTGAGCGAATTAGGAAATATTCATAATTGATGATAATGAGAGTGAAAATTAAGCTCATGAGTTCAGAATTTTTAGACACGTAAGTTGGATAAGTTCGCCCTTGTAAATTTCCCTAGGGAATTTGTGTGTAGCCTAAGTACAATACAACTCTGTACAGTTTCAGGGGAAAGGGTACCGACAAGTGCAGCCCCCGGAATCGCATGGGAAACGACAGATTCTTAATAATTGATGGAGAATTTCGCAGAAATTCGATCAAGTACCACTAAATTTCTCAATATCCCATTATCCGGTTATAAATCCATTAAAACTTGTACAAAATTCATTACCAGAATTATGAATTCTGAATTTAAAAATTCCAAAATTACCTCAAAGAGAATTTCATTCCCAGTCATTTTGCGGAAAAAAAACCGAATTTATGTTACAAAATTTTTCATGAATGACAGCGTGTTTTAATTTACAGTGAATTTCCGAATTATTATTTCTTCGTGGAATATTCTACTGCTGCGTGACGCCATGATCAATTGTCCATTGATTTTTAATCTGCTTGATCAATCGTTTCTCAAATACATCTTCACTCTCGCCAGTGAGAAAAATCCTGACGATAAGAAAATTAAACAGACGCCTAAACGAGTAATTAAATGAACTCGAGATGAGGAATCGAAGATAAAGGAATGTAATGATTATGCACGAAGGGCGTGCGAAAAACGACGAAAGTCTGGTACTCCAGGTAAAGTTTTTTAGTTCGTTGAATACTTAGACAGCTCGAAATGAACGGATTTGGAGGCGAGAAAATCTGCGCTAAACGAAATCCAATAGTTTAATCCGTTCGTGAGATGTTTTTATTCTTTTTCCAACTCTCCCCGTTTCATTTTTCCTCTGCACTTTGGTTTTCGTTCATTCTCTCCAAATGATGTTTTTGAATTTTTAATCAATGAACTAGCAGATAAATTTCCATTACAAATTTGTGAGAAGCGGTGCAAATAATATGAAATTACGAAAATAATTGCGTTTTATATTTTCATGGGAAAAATTAACAAACATGTTGTTGATGCAAAAATGGGAGTAAATAGCATCGTTACACCCAATGAACAAATGTCCGGTTTAATATACATAAATTTTCGATAGGATCGTACACCAAAATATAATATCCTGGGTATCAAGGGGTTAAACATACAACTGATCAATAATGTCTGGGGATATGTCACGACTCGCCTCGATGCAATTGCCCTCCATCGAAATTTTATTGTGTAATACTCCAATTTTTATCGCGTTGACACGAAAATTATCGCTTAAAACTCCAACAAAATTTTATAATAATCTTCCAATTCTACTTACACCAAAATTCTTCAAAAGGAATACCCAAATTTTTACATTAAATGCTTCTCTAAGTCCCAACCTATCGACTAAAAATTTCTATGAATTTTACCATAATCAAAAAAAAAAATTTCCTCCAATAATATAACAGAGATTTTCAATAATTTTTCGAGTAGTCCACTGAAATCGGAATTGTTCTGGAGAATTAATCTTCACACATTCAATCATTATTAATTATTTTCAATCCACGGGACATTTTCATATACCTCAATGCATCCTCATAAAAATTACCTGGCTCACAGACACGTACGGAGATCATCCTTAAATCATTCTTCGGGGGTGGTCCCGATTTCAATGATTCGAGGGTCGTGAATACGGAGATTGCGTAATTATTGCGTAATTACGTGGGCTGTCAATTGCAGTGACTGTAACGGATAAATGAGATCAGCATGGGGTTAATTTTAACAATTGTAGTCCCAATAAGATAATCTGCAGACTATACGGTATAAAAATTTAATTATTAACTTTGTTGTTTTATCCACAAACCCTCAACATTACTATCATTACATAATATATCATTACATATATATCATTACATAATTGATTAAAATATTGTATGTCCGGCTGATTGGAGCCAAATGTGCTAATGGATGTGAAATTTATTTCTATTTTTCCCACACTGCAATTAGTCCAGGAAAACATTGCCTCATTATCTCCGAAATCCACTGAAATCCCACACCCATTACACGTAATCAAATATTCCCACAATTTTTATGTAAAATATGCGGTAA